CTGGACTTCAGGCCAATCTCCCTGAAGATCAATTAAAAAACAGAGGATTATATCTCAATATAGTCCAATGAGATTCATTTGGTCTTCCAATATTCTATGTTATTAGGTTCTTTTTTTCAGACCTGAGGAAGACGCTAGTGAGCAGTCGAAACTGTCAGGTATGAAATAACACTCTAGGTCTGAAAAAAAGAACCTAATAACATATATCTCAATATGATCAACATACAAAAAGGAGCAGAATGATAATGGCCTGTCACGATAACACATTTTTAAGCATGATGTACTGCTAGAGAGATACTGTGATAAATTATACTGAAACTACTTCATGCCACTGAGACAATAATGAAAGATTAACCCAGTAAACCATTTTTAATTACAGTCTCATTAAAAGCCATGAGTAGCAACAAATAACTAACAGAATGAAGCAATATTTTGCCATAGTCATTTACACAACCTTTTGCAGCTCAAATCTCAAAAAAAATACAAAAATACCCCAAATTTCTCCATCTTTTTCAAATAAATTCTACACATGATAAATATTGAGTCCTAAAGTAAACTGTCCCAGCTATCCCCTATTGAACGATAAGTCGATATAGAGATTATCGTGACAGGCCCGAGGAAAGTATAGGATGCCAACCTTATGACTTCTCCTATAACTGCTCTGACGCCGTACTCTGTGCTCCAGACAGACACTGCTTGGGCAAATACTGACGAGAGCTGCTCAAAGTGTTGGAGCAACTGAATCACCTTCACACTTGCGCCTGTAAAAGAGCAATATAAAAATACCCAATCAATATTAAACACACATTTGTCAAGTTCTGTGCAGTTTTCTAGATTTCCAGACAGATATAGTAATAGAAAATGTTCAGTTTTTTCAATATTAATTCCATTACACTAATTGCTCAGCTGTAAGGGAAAACGGCCAAGTCTCACCAAGTAGGTGGTTGTATTTCTTGATCATTACTCCCAGGAGGTGGATGATGCCGTCTCTCGTGGGTTTGCTTTTAACGTGACTGATCGTGGGGTTCTCAAGAAGTTTGTAGCAGCAGCAGGTGACACAGCTTAAAGAAGATGTTAAACAAACGTTACATAAATCTTAAAACAGCACCTCTATTTAGGCAGGACAAGCTGGGCAACCTTGATGGTACCTACTGGTTCTTCATTTTTCATTTTTAGTCATTTATTCAGCATTTTATATTTTAGTATCTCTCTTTATTTGAACCAAGTCTGAATTAAACTATAACATGTGTAGATAGTTTTACATGTCGTTTTCCAATTTTGATCTAAAACTGCTTAAATAGAAATGGGTCTGTTGACTGTTGTTTACTAAAACCATAGAACTGATGAGAGATGGTACTTATTTGGCTTGAAGACATTTGATAATTACTGAGCTCTACATTAAAACATACCTGATAAACTCTTCCTCAACCAAGGAGAGATTCCACAGCGATCTGATGTCCAACTGGAAAAGCTGAACCAAGGCCTGAAGCACTGCCTCCCTTTCACTGTCCCACTGGTGCATCCCCTCTCCAGTCTTCCCTTTTTTTCCTCCCTGTAGAAAGATTTTTTTTTCAATATATACATTCAAAATCATATTACACAGCAAAGACAATTCTATATAATAAAAGAGAACCATATGCCCTCAGATTACCAAAGAAGATTTCATACAAGTCAAACCATTTAAATAGATAATCCTCCAGTCATCTATTCTACAATCAAGCAGCACTCACACACAAAAACATGCATACATTATTTGACATCTTCTCTGTCCAAACTCATTTTCTTTAAAGACAGACAATATTAAAAGATAGGTGTCAGATTAACTATAGGTGGACCCTTACAACAATGCAGTAAAACTACACCACACTGTCAAGATTACCCACCGAACAGAAAACTAGAGGATAATCTAATGGTTTGATCTAATCAGATATCTGCCATAATCTCATCAATGGGCAATGAGTTTAAAGAAAAGCTCTATGGAAGTTAATTTCATTTTTTTGACTGGATTTAATGTATGACTACTGCAACATACTGAAAAAGACAAGAAAATATCCAGCTAGACCAATACTGTTTTGAATGTGAAAAGTTGTATTGTACCTTTCCTGGTGCAGTGATTATACTTTGTCTGTAGGAGTCACTCTCAAGCATCTCTGTGAGTTTACAGAGCAGATAGACACTCATTTTGACAGCGTTCAGGTTTTCTTTGCGTTCTGCGGCCGTAGTGGAGGTGGACAACAGGAGAGCGGGCAGAGAGGTAGCCAGGCCCGCAACAACTAAAGGAGGAAGACGCAGACATTAACAACACAATACACGCATTTCTTGTGCTGAATATTCAAGCACTTACCTTGAATTAGCAATTCTAATGCATCCTCTTTCACACCAAGTTCAACTGATTTGCTGTGCCTGGAAAACAAGTTAAAAGTTTGTAACGCTGCAACAGTTTTCAGGCACACTCAGATAAGTCCTCAACAATACTTTTTGCACTGCTAGTTTTTTACTCTGTTCATACATTTTTATTTATATTCAGCCAAAGTCTATTACTGTATCAGCCCATTGTCATATTTGACCATTTTTAATCAATTTATGCTTCTGAATCCCATTTTGTGAATCTGGCTCACTGACAAGGGCGATGTTTCTGATTATAGTAAAAAGTTGGTCAATAATTTTACAGTACTTACTGCAGCAAACTGTATCCTGTGTCAAAGTTCTGCAAAATGCACATTGGGCCTTTGCTTCGGAGTTCTGCCTTGAATCCTAAAAAGAGAAACCAAAATGTAACAAAAACATTGAACAAAATTAAAATTGGAGTGTAGTTTTTTTTGTGACTGTCTACTTACTGTTGATACTTTGTGGGATTTGTTTTGGGGAAACCACATCTTGTACCACATATTGATTGATTCCTCCAGTTTTCACCAAATCACCGATGCACACGGGCACAATAAAGTCCCAAGACATGTCTGAAACCAAAACAAACGAAGTAGTGAAACAGACTGGACGTGATCTATCCCAGTAAAGTAAAGAAATACTGAAGTAGCTATATTGTTAAAGGACAAATATCTTATTCAAGCTGATATGTGTACCTGACTATAAATGAAGAAGCAACTTAGATGAGCTGCAAAACATATTCGACCAATATAAACTTTTGTCTAGTTGACAAATTTAATTTCTCCTTTTGCCATTTAAGCTGATACACACATTGACATGCAAATAGAGACATGCTTATTAGAGTGACCAGACGTCCCTATTTACCTAGGACAGTCTCAGTTTTGAGCCCAGGGTCCCCTATACCAGCAAATTTATCCAAAACTACTGATTTGTCCTAGTTTTATACAAGAAATGTCCTAGATCTCCCTATTTTTGACTAATTTGATTTAAACCAGAACTAAGCTAAGACTAAACCAGGACTACATCAGATCTAAACCAGGACTATCACAATTTTTGACTAATCTGATCCCTGCCAACAGTAAAGAGGAGCACAAATTGCCATTTGTTTAGCCAAAATGCACAAAACCGTGTTTGCAAATGACAATAAAGCAAAAAAAAAAAATGCAGCGTCAGAAGTCCCTCAGATTATGACTGATGTGAGAATGCACAACGTTACTGTAAACGCTCTTTTCACCGTTTTATTTACACCAACTATCCAAACCCAAGTGTGTCCCAGTTTTTAATTCTGAAAACCTGGTCACCTTAGACATGCTAGATTCGTCCATTTGATAAAAGTCCGAGCCATTTTCGTAGCAAACTGTACAAAGATGTATACAGGACGAGATCTGTGTGGTTAGCTTTAGCCTGGTTAGCAATCTCTCTGCAAACTCTTTCAAAAAGCAAACGCTAAATTCACTACTGGAGTTTATAAATGCGGCATATCTCTCTTACCTGTGGTCAGTACCTGAATCCCCGCTGCTGTGAACTCCTCTGCTGCCTTTTCTGTCCTGTTTGTGTCTGTGTCTCAGCTCAGAACACAAACTGTACAAAAAAAAAAAAAATGTTTGAAACGGTCTCGAGCCCGAAGCTTTTCAAATCTGCCCCCGACCTCGCGCCAAACGTGACGTCATCTACAGGCGCCATTGTTTTGTTTACCAAATACCGCCACCTGCTGGACAAACCTGCCAGATTGAATGTTTGTTTCAGGCGCCGGTACACGTGCTGTTATTGCTAGAGGTCAAAAGTTCGTGCATACACCGACGCACACGACACAATAAAGTCCCAAGACATGTCTGAAACCAAAACAAACGAAGTTATGAAACAGACTGGACGTGATCTACCCCAGTAAAGTAAACCAATACTGAAGTAACTACACTGTTAAAGGACAAATATCTTATTCAAACGTGCTTAAAGTGACCAGACGTCTCTGTTTATCCGGGACAGTCCCAGTTTTGAGCCCTGTGTCCGAGCAGATTTATCCAAAACCATTGATTTGTCCTAGTTTTACACAAGAAATGTCCCAGGTGTCTCTATTTTTGACTAATTTGACCCCTGCCAACAGTAAAGAGAGGCACCAATAGTCATTTGTTTAGGTAAAATACAGAAAAGCTGCTTAAACATGATGAAAACACAAAGAAAATGTGACTATATTGACAAGTACTTAACAATCTTCCTTAATTACACACTGTTTTCTCAATTTTATTATTACCAACCACCACAACAAACCAGGGGAATCCCACTGTTTTATTTTTTGAAAATCAAATTATGCATACTGTACTAATATTGATGATAAGTTTAATTTTGTTTTACAGTATGGCATTAAATATACCTATATCCACAGAGTCACCAGGCCAAGGTTCAGGTCAGATCTGTGGAGAGCTGACCCAGCTCTCAGTAAAAATGGTCTACAAAGCATTTTCTAGCTATAAAAAGTCCTGTAACCGAATAAGCAAAAAAGATTAGTTTAGATCAACACTGCAGAACATACTATGGACACTCGCCACAGAAAAGCTACATAGTCCATTACATTATACATTTACACATTTACCTAATAAAATAAAAACATTCACACAATATTTGAGGTAGTAGCTGTATTTTAATTGATTGATCCACACAATCACCCAACTCCTTTGTACCAATGTCAGCTACAGAAGTTACAATTCTTTTCAATATTGTCTGGCATTACAGCACTCAGTCAGTCAAATGCTCAAATGAAATTGTGTAACTATAATGCACTAATACTGTGATGACAGTGCATGATCTTTTTCACTACCTTACAATAAAATAAAAAAGCAAGGTTATGCACACAAATCTAGCCATATTAAAAATAGTACAAATGCAATGGTTGATAAAAGTTGATAATATTCTACAGTATTGTTTTAAAGTTCATCAAGGGCAGTTGTAGTGTAATTAATAACTAAACAAACTGTTAAAAAAAATAAGAGCACCAAAAGATTACTCAAACAACTAACTATGGTTATAAAAATCATAAATACATATGTAGCCACCATGCAGTTCCTTCAAACACACTGTTATAGACCAAAAATGTAAACCAGGAGAAGCACCAAAATGAGGGATGAAAAAAACAAAAACAAATCTAACCATTAATGATGAAATATTGTTGCTGTGTTTCTTATCAATGTGTCAGGACATCCAGATACTTTCACTTTCTCTTTCTGTCTTGAGAGCACCGGGGGCAATACCTGTACAAAACAGATATTCAATGTTAATGGGGCTAAAGTGACAAATAAATGAGAGTCCACAACTGATGTAAGTTTTGAATGTTACCATTTGCCTCTTGGTTTGGTTGTCAGACCCACACATGCGAAATGGAACCACTCAATGGAGCACTGGAGACAAAAGAAAAAGAATAAGGCTTTGTTATTCAAATACGTAAAAACCCACTTACAATACTGTGCATGCATTTTGTGATCACAGTGGATAGCAATTTAAAACCAGCAAATGGAATATTTCACAGCCCTTCTCCAAACTCCGGTGGCACACAATTAGGCAAACAACACTTGACTTGATGTTAGTTCCAAGATCTGTGTTGAACGGGCATGAGGTTTAACATCAGCTTGTGTGCTAGAGAAGGTTGAATTGTGTACCTGAACTTGAAAATACAGACACTCATGACTGTTAATAAAACTACTCTTATTACCAAAATGTAGTTGGACACATTTCAGACCTTCTGTTTGAATGGCTGTATACAAACTGATGTATACGACAGTCGATTTGTCATCATGTATTGCTGCTGTCTGCCTGTCTGCACTGTAACAGCTGTGTGGATTGAGCAGCAGTATTGCAGTGTTGAGTTGCCCGGATATTTCTGGATCTTTGCTTTGGTCGGTAACAGCTCTGTCTGTCCACTTTTTTTTTTACCTGTAACCATCCTGGCCTGATGGATATCTCTATTTTGGCTCACACACCCTTAAGGTCAAGTGGGACACAGAGAGGGTTTTTGCACTTATTGATCAAAAACAATTTATTTATCCTCAACAATTACATGAATATTAACATAGTCATTTTTATTTATTGATAATGTTATTGATAAAGAACAAAACCAAATGCAAAGTCCTATCCTATGTTGTTTCTATGTTGTCAAAAGGAAAATGCAAATAATTTAATTATACTAACAAATTGCTTAAAACCTGTTTTTGAAAAGCCACAAGTTGCTATTTACAAATATTTTGAACCATTCAAGCGTAAACCATGTATGTATCTTTTGGTATATTGTCAATATGCTTTTAGGGCAAACTGAATGTAATACAGTTTTGATTCTCAGCCTTCTAACAATTTTTATTACCCACCCATAGTACAGGACATGGTACAAAACAAATAAAAAATAGGTAAACTCACGTCTGTGTTGTCACAGCCGATCATCTCCCCATAGGACACCTGGTGGCACAGGCAGTAGGTGGGCTCATTGGGGTCAACAGGCATGTCCAGGACATCAGACGGGTGCACGTTTCCAAAGTTGGAGGAGGGACTGTTGAACTCTCCTCTGTCAAAGGGCACACAGTAAGGACGATTACATTTCCAGCTAGTGTCTGTAGTGAGTGTGTTGAATATTTTATAAACATTAGCTTTTGGTGTTTTTAGATATGAAGTAAACAAGTTCACATAAAATATAAACTTTACTGATAATAATTGTGATTTTGCTTTATCCTTTATACAAAATCATTTTAAAAGATGTTTCATTTTGAGTTTTGGTCTCAAGTTGGTTATCAAATAAAAAAACACTTTGTTTTGGTCATTCATCTAAAGCCAATTAGTAGCTACCCTAAAACAATAGACACTATAGAAATAATCTTTCTGATAAATAGACAATTTCTGATAGAATACTTGATACCAAAATCCCAGTAATTATTTATCAGTGTAGCCTCCAGTGGCAAGAGCTCAGTGACTGAATTTTGGAGGTAAAATGTATGTGTTTTTACCGGTATATTCTCAATATTCAGGTTAAGGCATTGGCAAACCAAATATAGTTGAGATTTTACACCCTTCTTTGAATGCCAAGAGCACATTACATTCCCTGGCTATAACTATACCCTTAAAAAAATATGAATAGGTTTCAAAAACCAGAGAATGAATGACAATGCGTACGGTTGGAGCAGCTTCACTTTCTTCTGGGCGCTCTTCGGGCTGCCGTCTTCATCTGAACTCTTCACTTTGGACCTCGTTTTGGCAGTTTTCTTCTCTTTCTGTCTCATATCACCTGGAATCAGACTTGCTTTTAATATTTCATAATAGACACTTCAAAAGCACTATTTGGGTTTATATCTTAAAAATGCAGTGAGTAATTAGTAAATGCTTTTACCTTGTTTTTTGATGTTTGTTTTTATACGATTTTTTGGCTCTATTGCAGTGGTTTCGACTTGGGATTCTTAAAGAAAGAGGTTGAAACTAGAACTCGAAGTGATGGCATTTTAAATTGCTACTTTAATGAAATGTCTTACTTATTGTTTAATAACATTTTATAGCCATCAAAATATAAAAAATAACTTAAGTATTCCTTAGTGTACAGTATTTTGTCTGTAAGTATAAAAGTGTTGGTGTTGGTAGGAGATATAATTTGAGAAATGGGTTGGGAACCACTGTTTTATTGGAAAACATTGCATTGTTAAATGGTGTAAAGAGCAAGTAGAGACATTCAGCAAATCATTTGAACCCTACAATCACAATGCTACCATATCATTTGAATAATAAATATTTATAGTCCTAGCATAAACTATAAACATACAGACCTTTCTTTCCTTTGCTTGAAGTGGAATCGTAATCTGTGCTTTCGATCTGCTTCTCTTTTAAATCGGCCTCAAATCGAGCGAGATCTGTGTCCAGGCGCCTGATGTGTTTATCAACCTAATGTAGACAGTTTAGAATCAGCACAAGGAAAAATAAAACGTGATTTTTAGTTAATCATGCCATCGATACCATCCAACCAGCAAAGATTCAATTTTAGCTTGTAACAGAGTTTGACCACTTGGACCATTTTGCATATATATATTTGCATATATATTCTCACTATACCCATGTCGGAAATGTATACCATTAATGTAAACCTTAGAATATGTACGCTTTATTTTGTCTCTCATATTTTGATTGTTCTACTAATCTAGACACAACATTATATATATATAATTCATACTATATCGCAACTATAATGCATTTTGTAAATAAATAAACAGTATTACCATCTCATAGGTTTGCATCGCCAGTTGCACTTTGTCATCTCCAAACTCTTTGCATTTACTGTAGGATTGTTGAATTTGTCGCAGAATGGAAAGTTTTTGTTCAGAGGAAAGAGTCCTGGCGTTGGAGGTGTATTCTTTTGCCAATGAGTCGATCTGTGATTTAAGATCTGAAAGGTGCAAAAATAAAACATGAAGTTTTCACTTTTTGGCACATTTTTGGATGTAATTGACTAAGAAAATATTTCTTCTTACCTTCTGTGCGCTGGTCAAGATCTCTCATCAAATTAAAATTTCTCTGCAATTCAAAGGGCAAGTTTTCTATACCTGAAAGAAGAATTTACAATCGTGTTTCAATGGTGAGACACTAGGATTTTTAACTCTGATTAAGAGTAATCAAAATGAGAGCACTACTACATCTACTAAATGTAAAAATACCCAAAGTTGCAACTGCTAGAAGAACAAAATGTGAATGGAGACCTATGGTTTTAATTTTTTTCATACAGAGCACATTTAACTGGTGCTTGAGGATGCTACTGAAAGAGATGATCTTTGACTTCTTGAAGTTAAAATTTGTCAGATAATTGTTCAGTTACATATAACACAATTTAATGGGTAGATCACACTGGATAAGACACTTGTGAGAGGGTTAAGTGCTAACCGGTTTGTGGTGGTTAATAATAATGAAACTGTGAAACGAGTGCGTAATTAAGGAAAATTATTATCCAGAGACCATTCATGATTAACGTGTGAGCCAGTGAGGTCAAATTTTCTTTGTGTTTTAATCACTTTTAAGCAGCTTTTCTGTATTTTACCTAAACAAATTACAATTAATGTCTCTGTTTACTGTTGGCAGGGCTCAGATTGGTCAAAAACAGGGACACATGGGACATTTCTTGTATAAAACTGGGACAAATCAGTGGTTTTGGACAAATCTACTGGGACAGGAGACACAGGGCTCAAAACTGGGACTGTCCTGGGAAAAATTGGGACGTCTGGTCACCATAAACCTGGTCCAAAATCTAGAAATTTAAAAAACTAAAAGGTTTTAGCTGGCCTATCTCACAACCAGAGTAAAAACGTAAACAAAAGACAACGCTGAATGAAATACAGCGCTAGCTTTAGCTTAGCATGAACGTGAACACAATGCAATTAATTATCCAAAAAAGCGACCATGTCTAGTTAACCATTTCTGACTGAAGAATATTGCGCTTTTTGACAGGGTTTGCAAAGATCTGGTGATAATTTCAACCTCTTTTATTCGTGGTTTCGTTTCATATCGTGTCGCGTTAGCGCCTGCGACTAAAACGAGCTCCAAAAAAATCGGGTTGTAATAATAGACTTATGCAATTTCAAGATGATAGACTTTAATCACAGCACTTCAGACTCAAAATATAAACCAATTATGTTAAATGCAATGATTCCGTCCACTGACTGTTTACAAAATTAGCTTACTGTCTAAATAATGCTCCAGGTACATCCCAGCCGCCATCTTGGAAAATGTAAACAACGCAGCTTCCGGGCAACAAACATAAAACTACAATAAAATAAATCAAAATAAAAAGTTTTTATTATCGATCCATGGCAACAACTGACGGGTTTGATTCTTCCATCCAAGCTCCAGACTTAAATGTATTTTATTTTATTTCTCCATAAACTTGTAAAACTATGGTGGCACTTTTGACCCTTCCCTAAATAAAAAATATGCACTTTTGAAATAGAGTGACCAGATTTTCAAAATAAAAAACTGGGACACTCCCAGTTTGTGGTGATTGGTAATAATAAAATTGTGAAACGAGTGCATAATTAAGGAAAACTGTTATGCACTCATTGCACAGATTTTCTTTGTTTTTTGGAATTTTAAAATTTTTTTTAGCAGTTTTTCTGTATTTTACCTAAACAACTGACAATTTATGCCTCTCTTTATGGTTGGCAGATGTCAAATTGGTCAAAAATAGGGACACCTGGGACATGTCTTGTATAAAACTGGGACAAATCGCTGGTTTTGGAGAAATCTGTTGGGACAAGGGACACAGGGCTCAAAACTGGGATTGTCCCGGGTAAATAGGGACATCTGGTGGGCCCCCTGAATTAAAATATTTCGTTCCTTTCTGATCTATATAATGTTATGTTGTTTCCTCATCACAAACATGCCCATAATTGTTTTGTTTCATTCACACTTTTGTTTGTGTGAGGTAATCAATCTTATATAAAAGCTCACAAGAGACAATATTGCATAATATAGGACATTTAACTCATTTTGCATTAAAAAGTGAGTAATTGTCTTTATTCTATCTTCAGTACAGCATCTTGTAATGTACATGTTAGAAACAGATTTGTAGACAATATTTTATTTGTCCTTTGTATCACACATACAAAAACACATAGTCCTACCGTATATTAATTTTAAGTTTTGCTATTAAACTTGAAGTAGAAAATCTCAATGATCAAAATTAACATTACAAATTATATCGAGTATCACTATTACTCGAAGCAAAACACAACAGGCCCAGTCCATTTTCAACATTTCAGTGATCAGTATTTATGATCACTCAAAGTACATTTAACAGCTTAATGTACACTAGGACTCTTCAGCTTTCTGCAACAGATGTTTCAACTTCTTAAATTTGTTCTTTCCTATCCTCTTCTTGGCCTTCATGGGAGTTTTTCTCATTTTCCCCACTTTTTTCTCAAACTTGTTACGTTCTTTCTTTTCAGGCTTTGAGGCCTTGCTTTCTTCTGTTGTTGCTTCAGCCACTTTAGCCTTTGGTACAGTCTTTTCATCAGTTTTTTGAATCTTTGCCTTCTTTCCTCCAGAGTGCAAGTCTTTTTTGGTACCTGGTTTCTTGGCAGTCTTTCCGTTTGTTTGGGACTGTGAAGTTGCTCCTTTGGTGAGGACAGCCTTTACCTTGATTTGATCTGAAGATTTTTCCTCTGAAGAAGTCGTTGCTGTGGCATTGTCTGCTTCCAGTTTCTCCTCTTCTATAGAAAACAGAATCGATTGTGCAGTTTAGATTATAAAATTCAAAAATAAATATGAATTAATTAGGAGGCCATTACCTTTATTTGGAGGTACAGTAGGAATAATGTTGGAGAATTTCTTGAATTTAGCTACAAAGAATCCATCCATGTTGTGAGAGTGTGGATAAAATCTCCGGGTGAGGCGCAGTGTCGGATGGAACCTACGTTCTTTGAACCTAAGAAAAGAAAAAAAAAAAAAAACATAAATTGGTTAAAAAAATTTTTTATATTATTTGTCTGTAAAAAGGACATTGGTTTTGTGAATATTTACCTGGTGAAGCCCTCATTGCCAAAGTCAAGACCAGTGGGAACCAATTTTACATTTCTTTTCTTCAAGGCGTAGTCTACCACCCATTCATTTTCTTCAACCTATTCAGCAAACAACAACCACCATGACCATGATCGATTAAAAATGTCTGTACTCATAGCACACTTTAATTTTCTTATCGTACACACCATTATTGAACATGTGCAGTAGATCAAGTATCCTCCGGTAGCAGACTCTGCGTTGACCGAGTCAATGGCCGACAGAATAAGTTCTTTCTGTAAGTGAGCGGAGCGCAAGATGTCTGCCTCGTCCTGCCACAAAATAAATAAAAATTAGGACAAGAATTTAAATGTTTTACTGATACTAACACAAAAAAAATTTGATTTACCTTACTGGTCTTCACAGCTGGATCCTTAGCAATGACCCCTGTGCCGGAACATGGTGCATCCAGCAAGACTCTGTCAAACCCACCCATTACCTTCATGGAAACAGTATCAGGAATCAATAAACAGATTAGACAGCTATAAAAATGGTATATAGTATGCACTTATTATTAAGCTGTGACAGTTTACCTTTGGAAACTGCCTGCCATCGTAGTTGCAGACGACAGTGTTTGTGACGCCCAAACGATGGATGTTTCCCACAACACTCTTCAGCCTGTCAGCATTGACGTCATTGGCCACAATAATCCCAGTGTTTCTCATGAGTTGTGCTAGGATACAAAATCACACAGAAGGTTTTTAAACATTGAATAATTAACAGCACAGCTCTCACATCTTCTTTTTATGTCTTACCGATATAGGTGGTCTTGCCTCCTGGGGCTGAGCTCATGTCCAGCACATATTCTCCTTCTTGAGGTGAAAGAGCCATGACGGGCAGTAAACTGGATGCTCCCTGCAGCATGTACTGACCAGCCAGATACTCCGGGGTGGCACCTAGAAAACAGAGAATTACACTCAATTATATAAATGAAATATATGATCAAACCAAAGTCATAAGATCTGTATGTGATGTAGAGAACATTTAAAACAGACAGAACTCACCAACAGGAACAGAGGAATCATAGATAATCAAACCAACTTTGGACCATTTACCCAAAGGGTCCAGGTTTACTCCTCTGTTGATTAAGGCCTACAGCAAAAACATGACTATGCATTTAGATCACATATTGTAAAGTAATGAAAAGTAAAACCATCATTATCAATTTGGCATTACCTGAGCAAGGTCTCGCCGTCTAGTTTTCAATGTATTTGTTCTAATTGTGACAGGTCTATGAATTTCATTTGCTTCAAGGAATTCGACCAACTGGAAAGTAATGGTGTAAAGAAAAAATATGATGCATAAATAGAATAAGAGTGCATAAAGAGTTATTTATTCTTAAAATAATATTAACCTCTGAAAGAGGGAACAGGTCAATTAATTTTTCAATTAGGAAGTTGTTGTAGCTGTAGTATGTGCAGAGATCCTTCTTTAGAAGAGAAATGTAATCTGACCGATCTTTGCCTTCCTCTCTTTTTGTTGAGAAGTTACATAAAACCTCAATGTTGTCCTTTATTCTCTGATAGATTTGCTTCAGGTCTAAAGGCAGGACTCCTAAAACCAAGAAACAATAGTTCAGAAAACTGATGCGTTCAAACACTGATCACAATAATATGTCTTACCTTCTTTCTCAGTCTCTTCAGCTTTGGGAAGTCTAAATGCATCTGTGTCAGTTTCATCAATATTAGCTTGAACTGTGTCCTCCTCCTCTTCATCAGAGTCGCCCTTTGCCTGCTCATCATCATCGTCGTCGTCGTCGTCGTCGTCGTCATCACTTTCAGGGCTCACAGACTGTTTCAGTTTTTTGTCTTTTTTAGCTGCTCGTTCAATAGGAAGAAGCTAAAACATACAAGAACACCTTTTTAGAATGAACAATTCTTTTCCATCAAGAAAGTCAAATGTCTTAAAAAGAGAGGGGGTCACTGTACCTCTTCTCCGTCACTTTCTTCTTCCTCCTCTTCACTTCCGTCCTCCTGCGTGCCATAGTCATCCACCATTTCTTCATCATCATCATCCTCCTCCTCCTCTTCTTCATTATCATCATCTTCCTCCTCCTTTTTGGTTGCTATGCTCTTCTTTTTGCCCTTTGTCTGTGGCTTCTCCATTTCCTCCTCTTCCTCATCTTCATCAAACTCCCAGTGCTCATCACTGTCATCCTCAATTTCTGGTTCTTCGGTTTTTCGCTTTCTTTTTGCTGGTTTCAGCCATTTATTATTTTCATCAGTGAATCCTGGATAAAAATATAAATAAGCAATGGCTATACAAAACTACAGAGCAACTCATGTGTTCATACAATAAAAGAACACTTGTTGTTAGCTGGAAATAATGTATAGTTTACCCTTTGCTGGCTTCTGGTTCTGTTCTGGCTTTTTGCTTTGATTTCTTTTTGCAGCTCTGTATGAAAACATAACAGGTTAACTGTCAGATTGCAGATTTGTTGGCCTGGTTTATGGTTAATATCTCTGTAATTCCTGGGCCTGTCCACATGAAACAAAAACTGGCAGAAAGTTCAATGTCTTGTCTGCCAGCACAAATAAACAAAAAGTTTATCATTTTTTAATACAATAGCTTCAAAAATGATACGAATATTCAATACATGATTGCTGTAAGTTGAAAGGATTTTGAGACATAAGATTAATATGGCAAATTTGTGAAGCTAATGTATAATAAATAATGGTGTGGTTCCAAATTTGAATGTTACTTTTAGATATTGCTTGTAAAAGTAGTGAACATCCCATAAAGCTGCACTGTCCCATATATCATCATACATCTAGAAGATAAACTTAAATACTTGCCTTTTCCTGCCTCTGCTCGAGAGTCGTTTTGTTTCATTGTCTGTACAAACACAAAACATTTTTGAGTTAAATTAAGTACCACGAAAATTAAGCATTTGTTAGTTTTGCATAAGTAAATGTATTTGAACAAAAATACCTTCAGTTAAGAACTTGGCGAGTTCTGTTTCTGCCCCTCGTTGTTTCTTGGCTTTCTTTCCTGGGCCTCTCTTCACTTTATTTGTTGGATCAAGTTTTCTTCCCATGGTTCACACTTACAACTACAACACTAAAAGAGGACAAATTCAGTACAAAAGGTTACAGCAAAATGCTGCTAATCAAAACAAGACTAACTAATGTTAATTTTTCATGTTGAATTTAGCCTAATCACTGATGTAACAACAAGGGGAAGGCATTAATTTCTTTCTCAGTGGCCATCACGCCATTTGGAAGCTTGAACACTAGAAAGCCAATCATAAATGTGAATTCTTGCCAAAGAACTACAGTATAAATTGTGCATCCCGTAGTTCATCCTTCATTCAATCAAAGCAAAGTTTTATTAAAGTTTTAATTAAGGGATCTTTTATAAGCAGGCGTAACAGTGGTTAAACTTGAAGTAAACATTCAAGACAATTATCATGTTGAACCCCAATGCGTTACTAGTCAATAATATGATAAACCTGCTGCATTTGAGCAGTGTTCATGTCAAGGCCTGTGACAGATTTTACCAACACAACTTAGTTAAGCTGCAAACACAATTCATTGTCAAATTATACAATTAAAGTAAATGCGTATGTTAAATATAAACAATTGTACATATACTCACCAATCAAAATACAGTTTTAATCCTGTTTAAATGTGTACACGTTCCGAGGGAAAAAAATCACACGTGAAATTTCGTCCTGCACGCTGAACAAGCCAACATCCGGCGCACAATCATGACGTACGAAAGTTTCTCACAACGTAAACAGCAAATAGTTTGCTTCATTTACTGGTTATACGACAAATCTAAATAATATATTCTCATTTACTTATTACATAGGATAATTTATTAGGTTTAAATGAATGGTTAAGACCTCATAAAGCAAAATAAAACGGTCAATTTTGGGTCACGTTTATGTGACGTAGATTGTGCGACAGAAACGAAGAGCAGTAGTTTTGCAGCATGGCGTCTAATAGCAAAAAGCGTGGTCTGGAACATTTGGACGAATATGAACCAAAACCAGCCAAACATCTTCGCAGCCTCCATGATCGTATGGCAGAGCGGCGGCTGGTGGTCATCCTGGAGGGGGCTTCGTTAGAGACAGTCAAGGTAAAGACGAGTTCGTATTTGATTTGTGATGTAAGTTCTCCACACAGAGCTCCAATAATCACAGTAAACTCCTGATTTTGTTTTGTTCTCAGGTTGGAAAAACGTTTGAGTTGTTAAATTGTGATCAACATAAGAATATGATTGTCAAAAGTGGAAGAGATCCTGGACACATTAGACCTGACATCACTCATCAGGTTTGTATCGCAGCTGTTTTGTTTACTGGAGCTTGAACATGGCCAAAATACTTGTCTGATTCAACTATTTTTGTTGATTTTTGATACCTAGGCTTCCTGCTGAACTGGCATAAATTGTCAATGATAATATAGTACAACTTTCTTATTTACTTTCTTATTTATTTGTAAAGGGAATGGATGTAACGATATCCAAATCTCTCGGTACGATATTATCACGATATGCATCTCACGGTACGATATTTATTGCAATATTTTGAAGAGGCTAATTTAATTGTAGATAGGACACTTTTTTGCTTTTAAACTACCTTGACAAGATTTTGATGTGAATTATTACTATTACCAAGAATTCAGGTCAAAAACATATTTCTTCACGCTGAAATGAATCATGGGTTATGTAGTGCTCGCTGTTTATTAGCTGTTGCTACTATACAACGCCTTTAAGCAAAAATGTTGTAATTTGATATATTTTGACAGCCCACGGTCTTATTGTGAGACTTTTGACAATACGATATCACAATATTTCGGTTATTGTTACATCCCTACATATTAATGAACATGTAAAATGTAAATATGTAAAGATTATAGCCAGAGTGGCTAATTTCCATCTTCAGTCCGGGGAGGTTGATGTCAAATAATCTACAGGACAGGGAAAACTACATAACACCAGCACATTTACTATTCACAATTCATTTTAGACAGTTCATTTGAAGTTCGAAGTCAAGAGTTAAAGAGTTAAACCAATAAACATAATATACTGAAGGATTGTTTATTACTATGTTTAACAAAAAAATATTTTGTTAAACATGGTGACGTATTTGCCCATTCAACAACCACAGTTTTAAAGCTTTAGAAAATGCTGCCAGTGTTGAAAGGTGAGCTGAAAACTTATATACCATCATATTATGAATAACATTTTGGTGTGTGAGAGACCTGTCCGTGCAGTTTTAAACTTAAGATGAGACAAAATACAACACCAGTTTTTGGCTCCTCATTTATTTTCAGATATTATGAAAAAAGTAATATCTTTGGTCGTCCCTGTTATAAAGTGTTAACTAATTAAAATTCTGCTTTTCTTTTTTTTCTTAGTGTTTGTTGATGTTGATGGACAGTCCTCTGAACAGGGCTGGCTTACTGCAGGTTTACATTCACACTGAGAAGAATGCCTTAATAGAGATCAACCCACAAACCCGTATCCCAAGAACATTCCCTCGTTTCTGTGGCCTTATGGGTAAACCTGATTGATTTTACTTTAGCACAGAGGGGTTGGTGATATTGTCTTGATATTTTTTTGGATTCTCCAGATACCAATAATAAAAAGTTTTTGTCATGTATCAGAAATACACTAAAATGTGCCTTTTTGTATTGCAAAAAAAGTGAATTGACTGTAAAATTAAACCCAGAAGTGAAGAAAATACTTAATACCCTAAGATTTAATGACAAGTTCCTTTACCTAAGTATTTGTATTATTATAATTCATTTATACAATATAGCTGAACTCAAAACAACAATTTAGATTTTGAAGACTATATTTCCCACCCCTACTCTTACATCAAGTTTATCCTCCGTGTTAATCCATTTTATGTTTTGATTCTAGTTCAGCTGCTACACAAACTAAGCGTACGGGCGGCCGATGGTCCTCAGAAGCTCTTGAGAATGATCAAAAACCCAGTGTCTGACCACCTTCCTCCAGGCTGTCCGCGCATCGGCACGTCTTTTTCTGCTGGAGAAGCTGTTTGTCCCAGAACGCTGGTGCCCGAAGGACCAGCAGCTGTGGTTATAGGAGCATTCGCACACGGAGCAGTGAGTAATTCATTTTCACACTGTAGGAACCATTTTTCCATTGGGCTGCACAAAAAAGTCAGGACCTGCATAAGGGTCTTAAATATGAGGGCTGAGAATTGAGAGCGTAAGTGATGTTTTGAATTGAGTTATATCAAATGAAATATATTTACATTCTTATTGAATTATTGATGAAGTACAGCTACTAGGACTATATGTTTCAGATTGGTTAAAGAGAAATCTTGTCCTGGGAATTTTAGTTTGGTTAGATCATAGTTAATTCATTTTATTAAAATTATTTTTTCAGTGCCAAATTGACAAGAATGCGTGTCATATAGTGCTATACACAGAACAAAACAAAGTGATTTATGCATTAAAAAGTTGTAACACATCTAGATATGATTGTTGTTTTAGCCACTTGTACCTTATTTACACCGTTGTTTCTTTCTCTTCCAGGTGAACGTGGATTACACAGAAAAGACAGTTTCCATCAGTAACTACCCTCTGTCTGCAGCACTGACCTGTGCAAAGATGTGCTCAGCCTTTGAAGAAGTATGGGGAGTCTTATGACAAAATACAACTCCTGGACTGGTGTTAAAATATCTATACAGTGGACTTTTTCCTAATGCAAGTGTGTTTCTATAATGGTGATTGGCCACCATTAATATCAATATCTATTTTTATTTCTTTTCACATATAAAATAATACTTTCTTAATGAGTGGTGTGAGCATTTGATTTATATGGATTCCTTTGCAATATTAGGAAAAATAGACTAATAGTCATTGAATACAAGTTATGTTTTGTGAATGACGATAACCCATATCAATCAGAAATAATTTTTTAACCCATAACATTACTGTAATTGTAATTAGTAGCTGTAATTATTGACAGTCTGGTGCTCTCATCGGGCTCTCCATGAATAAAAAAGATAAATGGAAATTTATTAGATGTCTGAAGCTCTAATAATAGCACCCGTTCCTTGTAACTTTACGTTGTCCTTGGCTTAGTTGTTTTTCTGATGACCTTTCCTGTGATGTATGTTTTGGCTTGGCTGTTTCGCTTTTCTGGGTCTTGCGTGGGTTTTGACTTTTGGGCGTTTTAACTGTCCTCTTCGTTGACACTACCCTGAGTTTCTTGGTGGCCTTTAGTTTGGGTCTCCCTTTGGTGGTCTTCGCTCTTCTCTTCTGCGTCCCAGTTTGTGATTTGACTTCTCGCTTGATGCTTTTCGATCGTTTGCTCTCCGGTGAAGTGGTTTTAAGGGTTCTTCTGGCTCGTGTCCGTTTTTTGAGGGGGGTTTTGCTTGTAACTGTGTTCGACTTTGGCTTGGCTTGCTGAGGCAGTGTTTTTGTTGACAGCGCTTTCGGAGCATCTTTCTTTATCGGAGTCATCTTCTGAGGAGTTGTTTCAGACAGCTGTGAAAAAAGTGAATGCAGACAAAACATTTTAATATTATTTCAATAAATCTGCATAGCTTCAGGTCCCTTTTAAAAGTACAAAAGATTAATCTGCGCATACCTACTCAATATTATTTAAACATATTACTAGTATCCATTGGTTTCAGAGTGGAATAAAATGAGTTACGATAGCAATTAATTAAAAACTAAATATTTTACTTATGAAAACATGGCCGCCAATCTGTGCCGAAGACCTCTGACTCCCCACTCACATTTATACATAAGCAAACATTTTCCCTTTCTACCATCTCTACATTAAATTCAGGACCACGATAACACATTTTGAAGTACGATATATTGATGAAGAAAATATAGATGATAAACAATAACACTGAAACAAATTTATACTACTGAGACAATAACCATAAAGGAGAATTATCCCCAAAGTCTATTCTAAATGTGCAATATGGTTAAAAAAGACAAACTGCAATAAATAGCTGAATGAGTTGTAGATAGTAGTTGTAGATACATATACAATTCCAATGTTATTGTAGTACAGAAAAATAAAAAGTTTTCCACTTTTACTTTACTAGACAACAAAAATTATAGTTCTGTGATCTACCAAGTAGTGAAGTTAATAATAACTATATCGCGATAAGCCGAGTTACAGTTACCTTATTGCGTTTGTGTTGCACCAGATTGCCGTTGTCGAGCAGTTGTTTAGCCATCACCGTCACATGCTTGTTGTTCTTGGCGACATCATACCCTTCTGAGGCCAGAGTGTGTTTGAGCTCAGCCATGGTCATCCCTCCTTTGTGTTTGCACTGGGACACGAGGCTCAGGATCAGCTGGGTGATCTGAGGAGATGCCGTCCTTGGAACACTAGCCTGGGCTCCATTCACTCTGGTGTTTTGGATACGGTGCTTGAAAAGACGAAATGGGGTCTCTGAAAATGAGCAAGGATTAGACATCATTAGAAATGAGGGTCTTTTTAAGTTTTTATCTTGTTTTTGTTTTGATTTTGCTCTTTATCTTTGAATTTGCTTCCAAGTCTCCTGTTTCTTTTTGAAGTTTGCATTGCAGCACCGTTTAAGGCAGGGGTGTCCAAACTTTTTTCATCAAGGGCCACACATCTAAACACAGACGAAGCAGTGGGCCAGTCAAGGACAGTAGACTGATGCTCAGTACAGGGAATAATTGAAATGTGTGCGTGTTTAACATGTTAGAATGAGGTATCAGTCTTTATTCATGCTAAGATCCTTAAAATATATAAGATCCTAAATATTCAATATTAGCTTTATCAAGGTAGATTTTCAAAAAACTTGCAGGAAAAAAATTTTTTTTTCATTGATGCAAGGTCATTTGGGCCAACAAAATTTTGTCTGAGGGCCGCATTTGGCCCCCGGGCCATAGTTTGGACATGCCTGGTTTAAGGTTATCTTAACTTTTTAGTGGTCTAAAATCAGAAGGTACATTAATGATCAAGTGCTGAAAAGAGTGAGTTCCTCTAGTCAACTACTTTAATTTTATTATGTACGAAATTTTATTCTGTCACCCATCTGGGCCCAATTTTTGACCAAACCCTTGTGGGAACATGGCAGTGTGATGCTTGGGAATATGTAAAATAAATAAATCATAATAAAATCCTGAGATTTATATTTTTTGTCAATTGACACATCTGACCAACTTACCTCTATATTGCTTTACCTGGAGTGTCTCACAATAGGCTATAAACTCACTTTCAATCCATGGGTTTAAAATTATGAAAAATTATAGCTGTTGCCAGTGATTGCCAGTGATTAACAATATGCTGAACTCTGAATTGTTATTGTGCACAAATATCTTTTAAAAAAAAATCGTGGAATACTCTTTCCACAGAGCTGACCTGTAACTTGGCCTTGCTTGTCTGTTTCAGGACAAGCATGAAGACACCAAAATGTTTGCAAAGTGCAGCTAAGTGTCTTGTTATCCAGATGCTACAGTATTTATATTTAATTTAGCAGTAAAGCAAATTGAGGGCCATTAACTTGTTATTATCCCAACGTTAAACAAACGTGCACGGTACTGTGAACATCAGATAAGTGCACTGTTGGGTGCTCTTGGGTGCTCTGTACTCACTGGGCGCGTAGAGGTCGACCCTCTCAGACTCTAGGCCGGAGAAGGCTCTCTTCAGCAGCTGGCCCAGTCTCCTGGCTCCGCCTTCCCCAGGCCTTTTCCAGGGGGACTCTTGAGCGTCTGGATGCGGTTAGTCGGTGTTTCCCGCGGTGTTAAATGATAAAGAAATCTCTGCTTCTTCCGGCGGGGAAACGAACCTGACCGTCTTGGTTGGGGCTTTTACTCGCATGATTGTCTAAAAACTGCGTAAATCAGCCTAAAAAGTACATCTGAAGAGTAGATTTGGGAGAGAGGCTCCAAACACAAGAAGAGGTTTGAACAAGGAAACCAAACGTTTGTCAGTGTCTGCATTAATTTCACTGCTAATGTTTTCTCAATAATATTTTACTCATAATTTATAAAATGTTTATTGTTTAATGTTTAAACAACCTAAAATGACAAAACAACATAAATGCGCAATAAATAGTAAATTATATTTCTGTACAAAAGATCCTCAAATGTTTTTTTTTTTTTTTTTCTGTTCATATGGGATAATGTTTTTCTGCAGAACACCAGTCCCGTGAGGTCAACATGATTTTAACGCAGGCTGGTATTTCTCTTTGGCGCAGTGGAGGACGCACAGCTCAGATTTGGCGCAGAGGACTTTGACCAGAAAGGAGGACTCCAAAGGCATTGAGTCATGGTATGGATCCAAATCACAGTTAAACTGCAGAAACAGAAGATCCATTAGGCCACACTTCCATAAGTAGACACAGAAGTGTTAGAACAACTATTTTCTTTTCTTCTTGACTCATGCCCCCACCTACAGGCATCTAGGTCTAATTGCAGTATAAGTTTACATAATAAAAATATTTGGTTGAAATGGTAGAAAATGCTTCCACACACATGCACTGTATAACCGTTCTGCAGGTAGGTCCTACACCTGCTTGTCTCCATGTTATTTTACCTGCTTTTCACCAAGGCTGATGTCATTTGTTTGTCTGGAATGTTCCTCAGTACAGACAAAAGATAAAATCAGTTTCCATGCTTTTCAAAGTAGCCTTTTTTGTACTGGGGAACATTCCAGGGAAAGCAATAGCATCACAATGGAGATAAGGAGAAGACAAGTGTTACACATTGCACCTTTAAGCGATATAATCATGCACCAACTATTGGACAGGGTTAAAATGTGGGTCACTGAGTGCTATTCCATTTGCACAACATCCTCCCCTGGTAAGTAAATGGATAAACTACAATAACTAGCATCTATCATGGTAATATCATAAGCAAATCCAGTTCAGATGCCTGAGAAGGACTGTAGACAGGACCAGTGCTTTACCTGAGAGAAAGCTGAGAGGAACAGGTTTGTATGTGAGAGTCCAGACAGAGAGGTGTCACTCGGGTTGCTTTTTAAACTTTGCTGATAAGCCTGAAGAGAAGGGGGAAAGAGAATACGTTATGATGAAAAAGTAATAGGTTAGATTCACTTGATCTTAATTTTAAAAAGAGTCTAGAGTGCAAAATGGAACTGGAGGGCAGGTTAGAATTATATGGTAGTACTTGTTTTTTAAAATATGTTAAATGCACATGTTTTGACCTCTTTTATGGTTAATATCTGTGTAAGTACAGGGTATTTGACAGCAACATCTTCCCTATTACCACAATCAAACTAAGATGGAATGATTTATTTCACTGTAGCTTCAAAATGCGGTGCCATATTCAGAAAGGCATATTGTTCTCAGCAAAAGGAATTTAATATTAATTTTGTGAATATTGTAGGTTTGTGGATGCAGTAGTTCAACATGTGGATTTTCTGAAGATCACTGGCATAGCAGCAATCAACAAAAGTCCTGCGAATGGCGTCCACTGCAAGAAAAAGCCATGTGACTGAAACCCACGAATCGCCCAACAATGACAATCAAATTCTATTCATGGGTTTCAGAATGATGAAAAGTCAGAACCCTTTCCATAGAAATTAACAATTTTCCAAAAATATTATATCTTCTGAGTTACCATATAACAGGAATATAACATCAAGCCATGAAGCACATTTTCATTATTGTGATTATTATAATTATCATTATTGTTATTGTGACTTATAGATGCCTATGTAAGAAGCCGCTCACCTGCAGTGCCAACTCTAGAGCTGAGTACTGCACCCACACCTCCTGCTGCTGTGCTCTGGAGAGGGAATTGCCTCCTGCTCTGCTCCTGTCTTTGGCATTGAGGTAATAAGTCCACACACAATTGGCCACCTGTGCCACGCTCTCACTGTGACCATGAACTGTAACACAAACAACATGGAAACGTAACAGCTAATATAGACAGAAATGGAGGGCTCAGACATCATCTCTCTCCTATTTACAAATCCTCAGACCTGAATCAAAACAAAGAAAACAATAGTGAGTAGGACTGTTAGTTTCAGTGTAGTTAGCTCCTCCCTCCAGGCAGATATAAGGCAGTGTACTCCAGCATCTGACCAGAACTGAAGAAGCTGCTTGGATGAGCCGTGAAACCTATTCAATCTAAAAAGTTTTGTGCAGTGACAGAATTGAATTTGTCCTTTGCTATGCATCTTACTTAGCCACGCTGGCGCCACCTAGTGCCTCTGCTCAATTTTAACAATAACTTGTATGCTTGCCTCTTGGAAAATCCTGCACTCATCGTCCACTTTTCTTATGTTGGACATTTTTCTGATTTGGGTGTCACGGTCAACAGTCAAAACGATCGTCCTTTAAGAGCGTTTGGAAAGAGACAAGTCTTCATTTGTGCTGCTCTGGTGGGAGGGGCCACATACAGAGACGCTGGAGACACTGCTATGCTCAGCCCCGCAGAAAATTACCAATATTTTAATAGAAAATATAATTAAAATATTTTAGTAGAAAATCACCCAAGGGCCACATTAAAGGTCTTGGAGGGCCGGATCTGGCCCCCAGGCCTTATGTTTGACACCTGTGCACTAGAGGGTTTGCAAGAACCCTGGAAGTTGTAGACCGCGCACCAGCCAATCAACAAAGACCTGTGAAGCCATTACTGGGTCCCTTTTTGTGGTAAAGCACAACAGTAAACAAAGCGGTCAAGATGGATGTAGACGAAGCCATACATTCTGTGTTGGCCATGATTCCCAAGACTGAAGATTTAAAGCCGGAACAAAGAGAATCTTAGGTGAATTTTATCAAGGCATTATTGCCCTTCTTCCTACAGGATTTAGGAAAAGTTTAATGTAACAGTTAGCCCCATTAGCGGTATATTACATACATCACAACCCAATATCAGCGACTGGTTAAATAAAAAAAGTATCCGCTTACAGGCGAGCGAACAAATCCTAATGCTGAGAGGTCAGATAGTTTCCACGAAGTGAAACCGGCTGATGAATCAGGCTACATCCTACCTGCATGATTGAGGGATTTCATGAACAACAACTGATATGGTCTTTAAGGTCCTACATTGTAATTTAATGTCTATACACCTTCATTAGACTCATTGTGATTATTATTTACATTATTAAATATCTGAAAAGTGACTATGAATGTATGACTCTTCATTTTTGAAATAATCACAACTAAGCACAAGGATCTGGAAAGTGTAGGTGAAAACATGCATGAATCAGTTAACATACACCTTTGAGTAAGCAAATGATGAGGGAGCACTGTTATAACATTACATACAATTTTGCACAATATGTCAATTTTTATTGATTTGTTAGTACATTTAGATTTAGTTTAGTTAGTTTTAGAGTCTAAACTCACCATCAGGAAGCAGCAGGTGTAAGATATCTTTTGCGATGAGGAAACCAGTCACTCCATAATTGAATGCCCTGTACGAGAAAAGAGTTCAAGAACAAAGACAGTGAACAAAACCTTTCTAATATAAGACAAGATGTGGTTTACCGTGGATAGGTGGGATGGAAGAGAGGGGGGACAAACATTCCCAATGGAAAAACAAGCTCTTTCCGATTAAGAACTGGGCTAACAGACAAGCTAAAAGAGAGAAGATGATTACAATTATTACAAAAAGTGTTTATCTCTTGCTTCAAACAAATGTAACAATAGCAGTGATAATAAGTGATAAACAATTCCTGGGCATAACATCTGAATTACAAATTGAAGTATGTGTATCTTCTAAAGATATATTCACCAAAATGATAAAAAAACAAAAAAAACAAAAAAAAAAAACAAAATGAAACACAAATGTTCAACTGATTTAATACTGTCAACATAAAGCTTTTGTCATTTGTAGACATACTCACAGAGGGAAGAATAATCTAAACCTTTATCCAAGAAAGATTACTGCAAAATGTACCCTGTAAAAATATTACTGTACTCAGGTAGAGGTAAAAATATAGTGTCTGAACTACTCTGAGAAGTCAAATTAAAAGTGAGCTGTAACTTTCATACACAATACGTTGCCTACACCTCCACTAGAATCATTTGGATAATTTCAGCCCTGGAATGGCCAATCTCTACTAAACAAAAGGTAAAAGGAGCTGTTTGTTAACTTGAAAACTACTCCTAAATGACATCACAAGGTGGCAGAAAGCATTTGGAGCTTTGGAGAGACAGTAGGGATAGGACAAGATCTCGTGCTACAAGATCCCGTGAGACAAAATTGCCACGATTGTGCAAACATGAGAAAAATTGTCTCATGAGATTTTTTCCCCCCTGAATTTATCTTTGGATTGGACTAAAAAAAGTTAAAAGCGGGTGAGTGATGCAGTTTGAGAAGCTCTAGTTTCAAAAAGCAGAGAGTACAATCTTGTATCTTGTCTCGTTCTCGTGGATCTAATCTCGTGGTCTGTCTCGTAAAAATTGCGTCTCGTCCCACTAATAGACAGACTAACAATAAAGGATTACTCAAACACGTGTGAATGAAACAAAACACAACTTCATGTACTGTATGTTGGTGAGGTAATAACGTTATAACATGGCTAAAGGTTCACAAGAGTCAATTTTGCTGAATATAGGACCTGTACGCAATAATATATTCATAGAGAGAAGAAAAGTTCAGAAAATGTACACAGTGCACCTTTAAACTCCTTTCACACTCACATGTCAACACCTTCACTCTGCTCCTCCAGAAGTTTAATCCTGCTTTTCTGCCACAAGGAAAGAAGTTGGGCATAGTTCCAAAAGAAGGTAGAGCCCATGGTTATCTGTAAACATAGGGTCAGATTAATAATTTTAATGTAATGGAGATCATGATTACAAGATTATAGATTTATAATTTCCAGTTTACCTCAGCAAAAAAATTGTCAAATTCTGCCTCATTTGTTTGATTTGAAGTCCACTTTTTGTGAGTAAGGGAGTTAACCTGAAAATACATCCTTACTGAGTAACACCACAAAAATACATAGAGTTAGCTCATTAATTTTCCTCTTTATTTACCTTTTTCACAACAGCCTTGTGAGTCTTTGGATTGTTCCACTGAAGTCCATGAAGTTTTGACTTGAGAGAGGTGACCATGTTTTCAATTATCTCGTTGACCTGTGGAGAGTTAATTGTCCCTATTTATAATTTGATAAAACATCAGTCCTGTTCAGTCCTGCAAACCTAATTTCCATGTAATTTCACTACTAGTGCCAGAGATTAACATTTTCAAAAAACAATAATATATTGTCTATATGTCAGTGACCGAAAAGGCTCAGGGAGATGCTATGCATGCACTATGTATTTTCTCTGGTGGAGAGTCTGCCTCCAGCTTGTTTCCATGGAGTTTCCATGCCAAGAATGTTCCCCAGTATGGCTTCACACGTATGTCTCCATGGAGACAAGCAGGCAATGCTATCTAGCCAAGTTGGATACTGCATAAATGCAAGATAGATAAATTAAACAAAAATTGCATACTGTTGAATATTATTAAGTATTATTAAGTATAGTCTCCATGGAGACAAGCAGGTGGTAGACACTAGGCCTAAACCAGAAAAGTGCACTTTTAGTCCTCATATCATGTAGTCCTGGTCCTACCTCCGCATGGGCTGTCCTCTTGTTGAGAAAGTGCGTGAGGACAGAGCCAAATCCTCGCTCAGTCTCCAACACACAGCTCTTCCAGCGAGGCTCAATCTGCTCCACCTTATTAACAAATAATGAGTCTCCTGTTTATAAAAGACACTCAGATCAAAGGCTCATATGTCTTACTGTTTCTTTGAATCTGTAGTCCAGAGCTGGAATCATTGTGTGCAGAAGGTTAAAGATCATGTAGGTGTGAAGTGGAAAGCTGGGAGAGGAGAAACATTACAAATATTAAAAAGAATGAAAATGTACATATTGTGAATGTATTGTGTGTTTGGTGTTATGGACCTGTTGCTATATTCCGGTTTGTTTAACCAATCGCTGATAATCTGGGACATTTTTATAATATAAGGTAGGTTATGCACAAGAACAGGGTCATCTTCAGTGAGAGACACTGGTTCAAAAGCCATCTGTAAACAGCCCAACCAATCGATCACAGGAGCCTGGCTCTGTAGAGATATATTTAAAAAATAAATGAAAGAAAAAGATAAATAGATTGTTAAGTTTATCCTCTGTGCACCTGCAGCTCCCTGATGGTCATGCGCTGGTACAGCTGTCCTTTGGCAAGACGATACTCTAGCGGCGCCGTAGCAACAGCCAGCTCAGACGACAGAGAGATGAACTGACCCACATGATTCAGACTGTCTCTCTGTGGCGCCCCTAACAGGGAGAGGTACCGTGTACACATGGAGAAGAATGGACGAAGAGTCTTTGAGAGACAAGAGGTGCCGGTAAGTGCATGTGTCATTAGTACATAGTGGGGTTCATGAGGATGACTGACCTCAGTCTTTGCTTCAGACTTTTCAGTCTGGCTGTTAAAGTCAATGGGGATCAGCAGATCTGGCTGGTCTATCTGTAGCAGAAGTTAAATGATTATTAACACTTTCTGTTCTGTTCAGTGATACTTCAGTACAGCATTTGTACTCGCCTGTATGTAATTCCTCGATGTCTGTTGAGATGATTCATTTGGGTCTTTGCCTACGAGGAGGTTGAAGAATGGAAAGGTTCCATAGTTCCTCATTAACAGTCCCAGAGTGGAGTTTAAGTCCGTCTGGTTCCATTTCTGGTCCGTCACAGCCCAGCCCCCCAGCTGCAGAGAGAGAGCACTGTGTTTGCATGTTTTTAAATCAGAAAAGAAAAAAGTGGACTCACATTTTCAATAAGTTTGAGAAAAGGTTCTGCTCCAGCTGTCTCTATGGACCTGGTGTCTAAACAGGAGTGGTAGAACATTTTGGCTTTCTGTTCTGCAGAGCTCGCCAGTTTGTCATTAGACTCTAACACACAGAAATGTGACGTCATTTATATTGTGTCATATTATGCACAGATTTGACTGAGGCTTGTACCTAAAGTGTCTTTGAGATACTGCAGCAGCAATGTTTTCCTGTCTGTCAGTTTCTTCTTTCTCAGACGCTGGTCCACATGTTGTGGACTTGGTCTCTGGTCCTGGCGGGCTCCGGGTGGTCCTGGGAGTCCCGGACCCCTCTGTCTGCCCTTCCTCCAGTCGGAGAGACAGGTGTACAGGTAGAAGTCACATGGTTGTGTGAAAGGGTCAGCAAAGGCAGACAGGTGAGCTGAGACCTGCAAACAGGCTTCAGACTTGCACGACCGAACTACGAGAGAGAACCAGAGGCTTGAGAAATACTTTAGTCATAATGGCATAAACACATGTGCTCTATGGTCTTACCAGGCCTGGTCTGAAAATGGTGCAGAGTGTAAATGAGTACTATAATAAAAGCACAGAGGCAAAAGCTCCAAACAAGGAGCAGGAACAGCCTTCGTCGCTGTGTTGTCTGTGGAGCCTCATCTTCATCAGACCGGCCTCTCTGTCCGAGCTCAGAGGAGCTCTCTGGAAGCTCAGTCTGGGACTGAACTTCCAATTCTATCTGGGATTGCTGCTGATTGTTTGGAAATAAACAGAATCATAAATCATGGTCTCAATCAGGCCATGGCTGTACTAATAAGGCAACGGTGCTAAGTTCAGTTATTGTGTTGCTTTTCTCAGAGAACCAAACAGCACTGACTTAAATGTGTTGATTAAAATTCACAATACTATAGTAATTGTACTAAATAAACATCATGTTTCTTGCACTTTAACATATTTTACTACTAACTTACTGCAGAAAATGGTCCTACCTCACGCTCTGTTGGAGTTTCAGGCATAATCATCATAGGAGAAGTTTCTTTTGTGTTAGTCTATCCTGTTGCATTATTGGTCAGGTTTATCCACCGTCGCCAGGCAGCTGTCATCTGAGCTTTCTATCTCTTTTCTCTTCTCCTGCGACGATGATAAAAGTTTTCAGCTCGTGTCCAAAGTCATTTCCAAAAACATCTAGAACCTAGTATTTCTCCTCAAAACTCCTGTACCGATGTAAACTGGATTGTGAACCACTTGTTCATTTCTCTCTGCATTTTAAATAGTCCAACAGTGGCATTTCGTAAGTCCAGACTCACACATTGTGTATATTATAGGTCTAGTGCATCGCTGCGATAGGCTGAGGGGGACTCACAGTTCTCAGTAAAGAATTTATTCAGTAAACAAGCTGAATGCATACAGGCTGTCGTCATTATCAGCTCTGCACATGGCTGGTAACAACTGATAGAGCTGTGACCTAAAGTGTGTAACAGCAGTGTCAGACAGGAGAGGGGGATACTTCAGTGCTTCATTTGAATGTATTCACCTTTCTCATGATTATTTCGGGTTAAGGATTTTGAAATATTTATTTTACAAGATCAAACAATTAAGACATATTGTATTTGTAATGGGATGGAATGGGAGCTGGTTTTGCCTGTACGTCAACTCATGACAGTCCAGTGGTGCTTTAATGACGACTGTTATTACTAGAAACTGGGACACTGACAAAAATAACTCAATATTTTTTGTATCTAAAAGTTGCTTAAAAGTATTGACTTTTGAACAAATGTGAAAGGGTTTTTCCAAAGAAGTGAAGTGCAATATCACCACTGACTACATCTTATCTTTCCTTTTTTTTTTTTTTTTAAATAAGCTTTATTCCAGTATTTTGAGATTATTATAAATGATTTAACATAATTTGACATACTGCTCACTTTTACACTAGAACTAGTTGATTGACACTGTATTAAATTAAAATAAAAAATGTTTTGTTTGTTTATACTGTATATTGTACTGTATATTTTGTTTTTTTTAGTTGTCCATCATTGCAACAACTGGAACTGGAATCCTTCTCCAGAAAGGAACACAGATACTGTCAAAATACTAACAAAAACAAGACAATTAGTTTAAGAGCAGATTATTTTTTATTTAATACAGCCAAAAAGCGCAGGTTGAGGCTACATTATTTTTTGGATGTACAAATCCACAGATATGAAAACACAATTTATAAATGTCACAACAAATAAAAGTACGGTAATAGCAAAGGCATCTTGATGGTCACATAATCTCATGATAAAGAATTGATAATAAAACAAGCAGCTGCTACAGCAATAAGGAAAATGCTACCGTCTACAGCCAGCAGATGGCGTTGAATTATAGTTGTATTGTGGTTCTGGGTTGGCTGCACCAGACAATGAAAGCATAAGTAACAGTTTGATACTAGATAACAACTTTTTAAAAAGGTACACTGTGTAACATTTCTGGTGGAGTCCATCTCCCTAGAGACAAGCAGGTAACACAATCAGGTGGCAACCCAAGGCATGTTTTTCAAGGCATTTTTGAGCAATAAAAACACCCATAATTAGATAAATGCATGCTGAGTAAGTTTAATGCCATACTGTGGAATATTCAAGGCAAAGCAATTACATCTCCATGGAGACAAATGGGTAGCTCATCCTACACCAGAAAAGTTACACAGTGCTCCTTTAAGTAAGCAAAGAAATAAGGCAGTGAAAAAGGCACATTGCCCAATAAAAGATAACAACACAATAGGTAGAAACATAATACCGTACAATAACACAATTACACATTAACAACATAGACTCCAGAATAGTGGTACAATTTGTGGCAATCAAGAATACTGGATTCACAAAACAAATAAGAAAAAAAGGTTATGTTTTGATATACCCTTTTCCTCCAAATTTCAAATATTTGGTCTTATGAGTTTTATTCCTTGAGCTCCTTAACATTGGAACAGTATGTTGTTTTTGGAAATGACCATACACAAATTAGAACGTACACATTAAAATATTAAAGCAATTATGGAAAATGCTTATAAAACATATGACTTATATCAAATCTCCTCGATAGGTCCCATTTATGCCATGCAATGCTCTAGCAATGTTTTCTATAATTGTTCTTTAGAAAATCTGTGCTTTCGTTTGTTCATTTAGTTTGTTCTTATATCGTCATGCATCTCAATTTAATAACAATGTGTATTTTGCGCCACATATTTATTCTTTAAAGAGGACATATTATGCTTTTATGCTGTTCAAGTTTTCAATATTAAACTATAACACGTACTGTAGATCATTATTTAGTTTTTTGTTCAACTGTAATACTGATTTAAAACAGCTTAATAATACAATGGGTTAAATGACTTCCTCTTTAACACTGCGGAACTGATAGGCACTGCTTCTTCACAGTGGATAGGAAGTAGGAAATTCTCAAGTATTACCATTGAAAAATATTTTTAACCGTACATAAATGACCCGTCGTCTGAATTTGTAACTAGAGAGAAGTGGGCGGAGATAAAGAGCAGGAGTAGGAGGTTTTTTTAGGGGGCGAATCAATCAAATACAACGCTTAAAGAGCTAATGGTGCGAGACTAATGTTATTTAAAATTGTTAAAACCTCATAAAAGCTAAATTTGCATAATATGTCCCCTTTAATTTTATTCAAAACAAAGCTGGTTTGCATTTCTAACCCTCTTCACGTCACAGAAAAACAGCAACATTCATAAATTTACATTGATTTGCAGAGCAGTTAGAGCCCTAATGGCGTTTTTCGTTGGTCCGCTACGCCAAGCTAAGCCGACACACTGATGCGACGATAACAAAGGCAACTTTTATTATAGGAGTGTTCTTTAGATCAAACCTTTTGTGCAAGTTATGCTTTTAGAGTAAACATACAATTGGCACAGGAGAAACCATATGGCCGTTAAAGCCATACTGCGGGACATTCCAGGATGTGTAACCAGCTAAACTTTCACAGAACACTGACACATAAATACTGACATTAAACTATTCAGAGACGATGTAGTTTTTATGGATTATTAAAATATGAACATGAAGAAGGAGAACATACAGGCCAAAGCAGCAGGCCAATTTACGAGTTAGATCTAGAGAGGTGAGCCTGCTCAGAGACTTTTTTCCAGCAATAAAAACATGAATTACTTGTGCTATTTGTCTAGTTTATTTGCAAAAAACACAAATTATTCTACCATGTTTATCAAATGAAAACAACAGTGAGTGGGCGCAATCAAAGGCAATGGAGTAATAGTACAAAAATACAGACAATGCTTTTGAAAATACTGAAGAAACTGCAAGGGGCCAATGATTACTTTAAATGGCAATGAGATTAGTGCCATTAGCGTCATTTATTGAGTTGGAATGTTCCGTAGTATGTCTTTAATGGCCACATCAAGAGTTTTTGACATTTTCACAAAGGGACACCAGGTCAATGCAGTACATTACCTCTGCACTGAAGTGGGACTGGGAAATACTACAGTAATTCAGCATGCATCCTCTCATTCAGCCACTCACTCCCTGTGCTCTCTCACTGTGTAAAGGCAGATCTGATTTGGTTCAGAGTTTCACTGAGTGGCACAGACGGGCCCCTCTACGCCGCTCGCTTGGCTCGCTGGGTGTGGCACTTCATACACAGGATCTTTCCGTCCAGAGGATAGCAGCCGTTTTCATCAGCCTCAATGGAGAGAGGGCGGGCACAGTCCTGAAAAATTATGTTATTAATTTAATATACATGAGGTTCCCACTTTTTTTCACTGACAAAATTTCATTGACTTTTTCATGACCTAAAGTGAATTTTCCATGAGTTTACAGCACCTACATGTGTAGAATTGATCAGATTTTTAGGGCCAAATATGAAATGTTAATCCTTTCCACTCATTTTATGGTTTGGTATTATAGATTTTTAACATTCAAAATTCTGTCCGTGCATTTATTGTTGTCTCTTTTAAACAAAAGGCGCATATGTTCAGAAATAATCATAATAGCCTAATGAGAACTTAATAGAACACAGTATTTGAGTGAAAGAGATACTAGAATTCCATGTCTTTTCCAGGATTTCCATGACCGTGGGAACCCTGTATACAGAGCTGTACTGTGTAATATTCTAATGCAGAGATGTTTTGTTTTCCCAGAAATGTTTTGCAGTATGGCATAAACCTTATCTATTTCCACGGACAAGCTGGTGGCTCTAAACCTAACTGAATAAACACAAAATAGATAAGTTCAATGCCATACTGTGGAACCTAAAGATCTCCATGGTGACAAGTGGGTGCCCCTTGAGATTGTAATTTCCCTAGTAATTTCAAATGAGTTGTAATAAAAGACCGTCCCTGTCCCTGTCCCTGTCCCTCTTACCTCACATCGGTAACACTTAAGATGAAAGTTTTTGTCGAGGGCCACCACTCGAACTGTCTCCTCGCTACCTGGAGCTGGAATAATGGGCTCATTGCAGCTCACGCACAGAGGAGAGAAACGCCTGCAACACACACGAGATGATTTTGTGACATTCAGAAAGACACTTTCCAATAAACTCCTTATCCACAGGTTTCAGAATGATTACATTTTCTAAAGGAACAGTGTTAATTTCACAATTTAAAATGAGAATATGATAACTTTTGAATTGGTAAATGTCCTCAAAATGTTGCACATAACAGGAAGATGAAATAGTTTAAAACAGAAGTGGAGGGCAAGTCAGAATTGTATGGTAGAATTAGTATTTTAATTATCAAACTGCAGATGTTATCTCTCTTATTACTGATCCTATGAAACTAAAACTGGCACAAAGTTCAACATCTTCTCTGTTGTCACAATTAACTACAGCCAAATGTATAAAACGTGAATGCTTGAGAGAACAGTTAAGAGAACATAAACGCTCAAGATTAAATTTGCAGTTTTGTGGACCCAATCTATGAAAACAACTGCTAAGGCTCAACATTGGATTTTCAGTTTTATACATCTATTCACAATGTTTAATTTTAAGTGCCCCTGCTTCCATTTAAATACTATTCTAGAACAGAAACAGGCAGTGAAAGGCACCTGTGGTAATCCTGAACACAGTAAGGGTTGTTGTTGTCATCGGTGATGAATGGCGCCCCCTCCAGGACGCAGGAGCAGGTGCTGCAGCGGAAACACTGAGCATGGAAACACTGTCCGACAGCTTTGAGCACACGGTCTGTGATCCTCTCTCCACATCTGGAGCACACCGCCAAAGAGTTCTACAAACATATAAAAATATATATTACATAATTCATAGTGTATTTAATGTAGATACACCTAAGCAGGGAGTAGAAGTCTAAAATTAAATGCAGCGGAAATAGCAGTTTGAATAGTTGTGCATCTTGTAAAGCACTTTCCCAGATGCCATTTTACAATTTCCTGCTTTATTTATTCACTCTTTACAATTTAAGATCCTTGTCACAAAGTATCAAGCGTGCTAAACCTGTAGTTAAGACTGAAATACGGGGAATTCTTATATTATTTCACATTTAAATTTTTTCTCTAATGTTGTTTTAAATAAACCTTGTGAACAGCGTCTTGATTTTAGGACTTGAATTGCAAAGCTAATCACTATTTCAATATCTGTATCTGAAAAAAAACATTTTGTCCATAATTATTCAGCCCTAAAATAGTGTATTTTATTAATCCAGCCTCTCACCATGTAGCAGTCTTCACACTCAGGGGAGCCGTCCCTGTCGTAGAACTGCATGCCCTGCAGGGGGCGATGGCAGCTCATGCAGCAGAAGCAGTTGGAATGAAAGAGCTTGTCCATGGCTCTCACTGCAGGCTGTGTGCGGGACAGCGCATCACCACATTTACCACAAACCTCTGGAGAGAAACAGCAAAGCAAATTATTTTAGTCTTAACCAAATTATATCTTCACATAATTATAGAAGATTGTAAGGATAGGCAAGAGTAAGGTTCTCAAAAAATAACTAAATAAATGGATATCCACATATTAATCAATACAAAAACAAACATATAAAACTAGATATTTATTTGAACAGGTATTGACCCTTAAAAAAGGACCAATTTGAACATTTCCTGAATAACACGGTCTTGTAATAGCCTGATTCATGAGCCGGTTTCACTTCGTGGAAACCGTCTGAACTCGCAGCATTAGGATTTGTTCGCTCGACCTTTTTTTTCATTTAACCAATCGCTGCTATTTGGTCATGACTGGTAAATTAAGCTTTTCCCAAATCCCATAGGAAGAAGGGCAATAGCATCTTTCCCCTTGATAAAATTCACCAAACATTCTCTTTGTTCCGTCTTTAAATCCTCAATCTCGGGAATTGTTGGCAACACAGAATATATGGCTGTTCGCTGATTGGCTGGTGCCCGGACTCCCACTTGCGGGGTTTTTGCAAACCATCTAGTGTATTCCAATTCCTGCCCTAGTCGCTGGAGAGACATGAAATTGAGCGGAGGCACTAGGTGGCACCAGCCTGGCTAGTCTTGTAGTGTCTTAAGCACTAAAAGCTGTTTGTTCTTTTTCTACAGAAGAACAAATGCATACAGTACAGGCCCTTACTCTGTGTTGCAAACCCCTCTCTTTATGTCCTTGTACCTGTAGGAGGGGAGGTGATGACTGGGGCATGTGCGTCCATGTTTTTCATGAAGTCCTGTGTCATCCTCTCCAATTCCTCCACCTCCCTCATGTTCAGAGGGGCTCCTCCGATGTTACCAGGGACAGAGGGCTGCACGCAAAACACAGTGAGTACAACATTTGAGTTACTGAAATTACAATGAACAACAGCGAAAATTTATATCTCAGTTATGGTTTTAAATCCAAACTTTTTAAATGTGCTAAGTTTTTGACAAATATTTGCACTATTTATAGGCAGTATCAATAAAGTTATATAAAATTCTAGTGTTTTTTTTTATTACAATTTGAAAATATGGTGTTGAAGTGACAAACAAGAGACACAAACACCTCTAACTGAGTAAATGCAAGATAGATGGAGACAGGCAGGTAGCGAAACCCCCCAGCAGAAAAGTTACATTGTGCGCCTTTAAAAGACAGAGTTACTTAAAACAGGACGATGAAAACACATAAAGCGAGGCAGCATACCGTTGACGAGGGGGGACTTTTCATTGGCTGGTTAAAGGATGCTGAAGGCGGGGTCACCGTCTTGGTTAGAGGGGCACTAGGAGGAGGAGCACTAGGAGGAGGAACAGCAACGTTTTGGTTTGCGTTAAGTTGACTACCAAACGGAGATGCTCTAGTGTGATTGGAGGGAGCGCTAGTGGCATTATTTTTGTTGAAAGGACTTGTGGGTGCTGGTGGAGCTGCAGGAGGAGCCGCGGGAGGAGCTGCGGGCGGTGCTGCAGGAGGGGGAGGGAATGTATTGGTAGCTGGTGATGGACTGGTTCTCTGTGCGCTACTAATCGGCCCGCTGTTCTGGTTTAAACTCTGGTTCAGTTTTTGTGCTAAAGAGGCTGCTGAAGTTGAGGGTTTTCCCCCGTAGGCGGTTTTGGGGACGACGGGGGGTGCAGGGCTGCCTTGCCGATTGGTGGTCCTGGCTTTGAGTTCTTCGGCCCAGGGAGCAGGAGGCGGTCGGTCGCCCATCTCTGGAGGAGGGAGGAAGGACAGCACAGGTTTGGGAGCAGTGGGAGGAGGAGCGGAGGGTTTAGGGGCTGGAGCTGATGAATACTGGTTGGGTAACTGTAGAAACACAAGTAAAAATTTCTTTAGTAAGTTTGTAAAAAAAAAAGTCTCAAAAATCAAGTAAAGTTGGCACATGCAATCCTACTGACTGCGTTTACACCGTATCGGGTCCTGTTTAGAGCCCAGTTTAGTCCTGATGTAGACCGTGTTTGGTCCTTTTCTAGTTCTGGTTTAGTCCTGTCCGTCCAGGATTAGTTCTGAATCCAGTCCCAGTTTAGTTTTGATGTGGTCAGTGTGAAAGTGTAAATACACCCTTGAACATTAATGCATTCACAACTGAACCTAGGGCCCTAGGGCTGACATATACTGAGCACAAATCATACGTAGTCCTTTTGGGTTTATAGCAAAGTGGGTTTAATCATAGAATCTTGCAACACAAATTGAGGAACTCATTCTGTTTCCTGATTGGGGTAATTGGCTGGTGAACCAAAACACTAAATGTACAACTTTATCATTATGTGAAATGTTTCATTTAATTGTGAATAAATTACAATTGTTAACAGAATTTGATTGAAAGATTTCTATGGCGTTAGGTTAATGTCTTATCAAATAAATATCGCACTATTCACAAAAACATTTCTTGGTCCAGAAACAAATAGAACAACATTCACAAAAATAATTCATGGCTTATAAATAATGATGCTCAAATGTTTTATTTTTTTGTTTTTTTAACAGCGAATCACATCAGCTGAAGTTCAGTCATATGGTTTATGGTTGACAACATTGTGTTACTATTGCACACAGCAGTAGTCGTTAGGTCCATAGGTTGCAGATAATTTTCAGGTTGACTGGCGAAAATGATGGGGGAAGGTGGTTTGTCAACTGTAAGTATAACTTGTTTATCTCCTCGTCATTTAACTTGTCATTTACTTGTGACTAAACTTAAAGTATTTGAAAGCATTTAGTTAAGTTTAGCAAACGTTAGTTCTCATTTGAGTTGGCAGACTAGCAAGCCTGGCTAATGTTAGTCAATAGTATTCATTTAACTTTTCGTATGAGCTGTGCACATTTGTACTAAACAAAAACGGTAACTGCTTTGAGTAGCCATGGATATACTGAACCATGAAGCAGCTGAAAACCCAGCTAACTGGCTCGTCTGCATTGCTAGTCAAAATGACAGGGCCTGGATGATAATTTTCCCTTTTAAGTTCAGTCATAAATATTTGTGAATGCCGTTATATTTGTTTCTGGTATTTGTGAATGTTATTTGAAGACAATAACCTATCTCCATAGATATCCTTCATCTGAGGACAGGGACAAGTCTTGTTCACAGAGGTATAATTTGAATAATTATATGTATTGTAATAGCTGAGTGTGTATGGGTCTTGTTCATGAAATATTTAAGATCTTTAACCAAATGTTTTTATTTGAAATCTCAATCATGTACATTTATTAACTAACAATGGAAAAGCCTGTCAAGTCAAGCTTTGAGAATATTTTGTTCCTATCTGCAAAATAAAATATTAGAACAACAAACATTTATCTTGAGACACAGAGAGACCGACAGAAAGGGAAAAAGAGAAAGGGGAGAGAGAAAGAGAACAGAAAGCCATACATGGAAAGTGTTTTGTCCAACTCGCTCCATTTTAATCACACTATTCTGCTTTATGCCTCCTCTCTCTCCATGAATCACAAACTATGTTCACAAACAGTTCATTTTTCTGTGAGCTTTAGACTACGGCAGACGAATCTGTGATAAATAATCATATCTGGCAACATTTCAGGCCATTTCTGCAGACTACCATTATTTACAATGCATGACTCATTCTCCTCTGAGCTGGCTCTGTTCCATTACTGCAAATTCACATCACTTTCTTTATACAAAGTGTCTTCTTATGTAAGTGTGCATGTATGTTTAGAGAAGGAAGATGTCAAAAAAAAAATCATAATAAGGCAATTGTTGTTTTTGGAGTAATGCAAAATGTTTAATATTAGTATTTGGTTTGTAATAAATATTTTTAAAAGGGCTGCAAAAATCTAAATCAAAATACAACAATTTCTGGATATTCCTTCAAATAGGGGTATAAAGTAAGGCTGTGAATTTAAAAATTATTTCAGTGATGCTTAAATTCAATTACAAATGTGTATTGATTACACAATTCACTTCTATTTAAATTGACATGTTTGCTTGTTCTGCAAAACCTGGAACAAAGCCTCTTCTCTGATCTATAAAGTGTCACAAAACATGACCAAAAACATGAATTAGGTCTATACTGTAGGTCTGCAGTTTATTTTTGATAGTATAGAATAGAAGTAATCGTTTGAAATGATCACTTCAATTATGAGACAAATAATTGTAAACATGATTTTTGCTGTGATTGAGCAGTGCTGGTATAAAGGATGGAGTTTATTTCATAATCCATTAATTTTTTATGACGTACTTGAACCAAAGAACAACAAGACATTTACAGACACATTTCATTTCTTTCTAAATATCTCATCAGAATAAACAATAACATTTTCATCAGTGTATCGCCTAAACAGAGTGTGTGTTTGCATTAAGACGTATTAGATCTCATTATTTGGCTTCTGTACCTTTGGGTTGAAGGGTCCCCTCGTCTCCATTTCAGACAACAGGTCAGTCAGAGAATCCAGCTGCTTATCAAAGCTCGTCTGCTTCTCTATTGGTCTCTGAAATAGGAATAATCAAAAACGTTTCAAATCTGTATGCCAAAAGTACAATTCATTTATCAACACCATGCAAAAACAAACAAACAATTTCATGGTTCATTTAATAAAGTGGCCTACATGTTCAAATCTGTGTGTCAGGCTGTAATTGTGTATTCAGGAGTGCCGTAACTTAAGTTATATTGCGAAGTCCATGCTTTTGCCACAAGATTTTGAGCAATAAATATTACTAAAACATGACTCAGGCTTAGTGAGGTATTGACTTAATGCCTTTACTGTAACTCCTAATCACTTGATTAAGTTACTAAGCCTGAATAATTCTTAAAAAACTATTAATAAACTATGTGCTCATTATGAATCAAGTCTGTCTTGATGTTTTATTAAGGTTTGTTAATGTGTAGTTATTATGAAGTATAACACTAAACTGTAGTAACTGTCACTGTAGAAGTAAACAGATGTTGTATTTGCCTAATTGCACAAAAGTCTAGGGTAAATTTGGAAGAATATGACAAAACTTAAGGGGTACTTTATTTTAAACTTACCACTACGTTGCTTGGCACAGTGGTATTGGAGGCTGGGAGAGGTGGAGGGGGTGGAGGAGGAGGAGGGGGCGAGGGGCAGGTGGGTGGCACGCTGCCCTCGAACAGAGCTGGAGGGGGCAGATCATCAACAGGAGGGGGCAAGTCATCCACCACGGGGGGAGGGGCAGGGAAGGCGGGGGCATCACCTGACACTGACAGGTGAAACTCAGGGGGAGGCGCTGGCAGGTCGTCATCCGCAGGTGGAGGAGGGGGTGGAGGTGGAAATTCTGACAAAAAAGGAGACAGTCAGTTGTCATGGATATAAATAAAATGTTGTAGCGTTGTGTTTTCTAAAAATTAAAGATGTACTATTTAACTTTCCACAGATCTGACCTGTTTTTTTGGCATCACCTGCTTTTCTCCATGGACAAGTTTAATGCCTTAATGTGGAGCATTCTAGGCAAAGCAATAGCATCTACATGGAAACAAGTGAACGATGTACCCTCCTCCAGAAAAGTTACGTAGTGCACCTTTAACTACAGTACAATATGTAGATGTGGGGGATTTATTGTCTATAAAATATTATTGTTAATAGTACAGTAATTGTTGTTTGATGAAAACATTCATTTAGTTGGCTGTGAGAAGAAGAACAGTTACAAAAGAGTTTTTTGGGTTTTTTTTAAAGCGTAAACTTGTAAACACATTTAAACTATTCACTTTTGTACTTATACCTCAAGCAAGACATTTACAGGCACGTTTTAGCACATTTCCCAGGGATTGCAAAAGTGTGTTCTGATTATCATTATTGACAGAATCCCCAATTAACAAAAAACTAATTTTTCTCAGTATCGCTTCAGTTCTGTAATACAGGGGTCCCCAACCCCGAGGCCGTGGACCGGTACGTGGACCCCATGCCTCCTTCCGTACGCTGCGCCTCTCAACCACAACTAAAACCAGGACTAAACCAGGACTAAACCGAGGACTAAACCGAGGACTAAACCGAGGACTAAAACCAGGACTAAAACCAGGACTAAACCCAGGACTAAACCAGGACTAAACCCAGGACTAAACCCAGGACTAAACCCAGGACTAAACAGATGTTGCCTGTACTGGTTCTCGTAATACATAAGGGGGCAACTAAATTGAATATTGTTGAAATGCAGATATTTGTTTTAATATAACAAGTTCTAAGGTTTAGTCACAAATAAAAATGATCAAGTTGAACATTTCTAATTTTACTTTTAAATATTTACAATCCCTTTTAATCAATAAATCAATAATAAATAAAGTCAATCAATGAATCTGGCTTTTGACCCCATCTGGGAGTGTGACATCACTTTCTAGAAACTCACCAGCAAGTATTGACAAAATAATAAAATATTTACCGTCACATATTGTCGGTGGAGGAGGGGGCAGGTCTCCCACTCGCCCGATCACCGCGGTGCTGGCTGGCGTTGGTGATGGGCCCGAGGGGGGGGTCTGGCTCTTGGGTCGTGGAGGTGCTACGGAGGCAAACTTCTTTGGCTGGTTGTAGAAGGAGGGGGTGGTGACTTTGAAATTCAGCGAGGAGGTCACCATAAATGGCTTGCTGCTACTGTTGTCCATTTTATGTGCTTGTCTGTGGAAAACGTAAACATTTTGGTCACTTTAACGGCTGCTGCTTAGGAACAAGACACAGGCAATAACTGGGTTTCAGATGACATCATGACATTGTTCAGGCTTATAATATTTTATGGAATTGGGCCAGGTTAAATTACTATTGTTATTATGTAGGGCTGTAGAGAAAAGAGAGTCCTGGTTGACTAAAGACATTCCCTGTGCATCGATTAAACGACTAAGAAATGGCACAAAAACTGATAGCGATTAGGGATGACACGATATCCAAATCTCTCGATACAATATTACCACGTTATGCATTTCATGGTACAATATTTATTGCACTATTTTTGATATAATTGTAGATAGGAAGCTTTTTTTTGCTTTTAAAATAGCCTGACAAGAATTTGGTGTGAATTATTTCTGTGATCATCCCAAAAATGTAAGTAAAAACATATTTCTTCATGTTGCGTGCACTGAAAGGAGTCATGGGATATGTAGTTCCCGATGTTTTTAGCTATTGCTACTATAAAACCATACATTTAAGCAAAGGATTTTGTAATCGGTATTATTGTGATACTTATGACGATATTATATCAAGAGATTTCAGTTACTGTTACATCCCTAATAGCGATAACTACTTTTAAACAACATCCTAATGATTGATAAAACAAGATTATATTGTCCAGTCATAACCAAAACACCATCTAACTCACGCGATGCTTTATGTCAACTAAAAAAAATTTAAAGGATTGACTGACTAAACAACAAAAGGACAATAGCCCTGTTATTAAGATGAAATGAACAATGATCATGCTCAAAACATTTTACAAATCCTCCTTTCTATTTCTTATAATGAGAATAACCACATAGATTCTCCCCATCTGAGAGTGACATTTTTGTAACATCATTGTCCACATTGAGGCTGGGTTCACACTTGCACACACACCACATAACTACAACTAAATCCAGAACTAAACAAGGACTAGACTTGGACCAAACCTGGTCTACACCCCGACTCAACTGGGGACAACCTGTGACCATTCCAAGACCAAACCAAGACAAGAGTAATCTGTGCTTAAATGAACTGATCTTATTCATTACGCTGTTGATCTAATGTGCCAAAGATAATATTTCTACAACTAAAAGCTTCATCCTTCAGCTCTAAAGTAACAAGTCTGTATTCATCTCCTTTGTTCAGCTCAGAGGTCAAAGGTCATGCATTCCTTGGTGGCGTAAGCGTCCGAAGTATTCCGTCAGTGAATTAGCGGTGACGCATCAACAAAACATGTCCCCTGCAGTTAGGTTTAGTACACGTAATTATTCCCAGACACTGACTGTGCAACGCTGCATGATACATCAGTACAAATTAGAGAACTTTAGATTATGTGGTTGGGTCTAGAGTCATTAAATAAAACATTAAAAGTCCATTCTCATTAATTTTTTTTCCGTTTCAACAGTAAAATTAATTGGTTTTGACAGTAAAATGTTGCATTATATGATGAAGTTACAAATGGAAAAACACACGCGTAACGTTTCAGCTAACAATTACAGCAATACATAATTATTTTTCCTAACAATTTAGTGCAATTACAGGAAATCTTGTAAATAACTAGTTACACAAATACATATTTAAGCTTTGAAATTGCTTAAAACGTGCACAATGGGACTTTTCTGGTGGCATTGCCTGGAAAGTTACACAGTATGGCATTTAAATGACTGCACAAAATATATATCGCCATGGAGACAAGGAAATGACACAGAACCAATGCACATTTTTCAAAGTATATTTAAGCAATAATAAAATAAATGCAAGACAGAGGTTTAATGCCATACTGTGGAACATTCCAGATACAGTAATTACATCTTCATGGAAACAAGCAAGTGATAGACCCCACCAGAAAAGTTCCACAGTGCACTTTAAACTGAAAAAACAAAGATAAATGAATAAGACATAAGACAAATATTCTGAATTCAATTAATTTAACTCATTCAATCCGGGTTTGGTCCTGGTTTGAGGTTAGTTTAGTCTTGGTTGGGTTCTCTTTTAGTCCTTTGTTAAACCTGATCAGTAGTCCAGGTTTAGTTCAAGGTTTCAGTCTCAGTTTACCCTTGAATTGCACTTTATTTTTCACAATAAATACGAGCTAGAATCCTATTGAATGAGGCTCAGCGCTGACCATAAGTGTTTTCAGTAACCTGCGTCAGAAAAGGGGGAGCTCAAATATTACACTTGGTGGTTAACAAATGTTGATCTAACCTCAATGTCTCCACCAAAATTCCTCACTAAGTCTAAACACATTTCTCAGAAGAGCCGTGGACGCGACCTCTAGTGAAAGACACCATTTTACCATACTGACCCCTGAGATCTTTTGTTATTTAGTATTTAGATATGGAAAGAAAGAGGAGAATAGATAAAAGCATGTTCCTTTTCAACTATCAGAAATATAAAAAGCTTCATAATAGCTGTTTAACCTTGTATGTAATTTTAAAGCTTAATTATCAGTCAATATGTCTGTCATGTGCTGTGTTAAGAATGTAAGGCCAGGCAGTATAGTAAAAAAAAACTAAGTCAAATTTACAATTTTTATCTTTGTATTAATCAATAACAATTTTCAATTACATTTTTCTTATTAAAAACACATATCTATTACTTTCTATCGATACAATGTAACTTTAAAAACAATAAAGTAGCATTAGATGATTAGACCATGAAGAAAAATGAATAAGAAATGCTAAAATGTATTCTGTATTTCCATGGGTAGACTATATACAGTATTATATTCATTTCTCTCCAGCGACTAGGTCAGGAATCGGAATACTCTAGACAGTTCACAAAAACCCTGGAAGTACAAGTTCGGGCACCAGCCAATCAGCGAAGAGACACACTTTCTGTGTCAGAAACGATTCCTGAGATCGAGGATTTAAAGCCGGAACAAAGAGAATGTTTGGTGAATTTTATCACGGGTAAAGACGTTATTGCTGTTCTTTCTACGGGATTTGGGAAAAGCTTAATATACCAGAAAGCCCTGTTAGTAGCGCATTACATACGTCACGACCAAATAGCAGCGATTGGTTAAATGAAAAAAAGTACCTGCGTATCGTCAAGCGAACAAATCCTAATGCTGCGAGGTCAGACGGTGAAACCGGCTGATGAATCAGGCTGATACAGTATGTGCAACCTCTTTACAATCCCTCTTACAGTTTTTTTTTAAGGCTACCAGAAACAGGCATTAAGCAGAGATTTTATATTCCCTGTTATCCAAAACGTATTATTTACTATTCATTTCTGAAAAAGACACTGCCACGGTGGCCAGTTAGCTAAAATGTTTACTTCAAGCTCTGCTAATACATTTGACTAAAGAGTGACACAGCTCTTTTGCTACTATCTAATCTTCATTCCATTTTGGTTGGGACATGGGCATAGGTTCAAGTTCTGACAAGACAAAATGCCTCTAGAGCACGGGAGAAATCTCTTTGGTCTTCTAGTGTTTCTCTTCTCATTTTAAGGGGCTGCATCCGTCCAAACGGCAAAAGAAAGTATGGATTTATTGACTGTTAGCGCAAACGTAACAATATACAGTACAGTATATCCAATTCTCAGTGCAGCTACAACAGGACAAGACGCAACTTATATGAGATTGACTCCTTCGGGGGGCATGGTCTAAAGGTTTTGCTCGTAATCCTGGTATTCAGAAAATAATTGTATAAAGTCTTGAGGGTGACAGTATTGGATGAAGCGTTTGTCTAGGACCGAAAGGGTGGCCGGTTTAATGACAGTTTGATTACCAATTCAACATTCAACAAAGGATGGATTATTTGCTTTTGAACTCACTTTTTTCTAGTTTTTATAGGCAATTTTTGTTTATTATTCTAATTTAACAAATCAATAAAATCATATATAATCAATATAAAAATAAAAAACAACAACTACACACACATACAAAGGACAGAGGCTCAAATAATTACCATATTTGATATTCTTTACTTATACTAAGTAGTTAACACTTTTTTGTTTCATGGTGGCGTTTATTGTATCATAAATTAGACTTTATGATGATGATGATATACTCAATAAAAATGTCTTTATATGTTTATATATAAAAAAAAAGCACATGCCTTAATTTGCCAAACTGGGTCAAAAGAAAAACTTAGGGGACTGAACCAAGATGAGACTAAATCTAATGAGGAATTTCACTTTCCCAAAACAGTGCGCTTCTTTGTGTTGTTATTTTCTTGCAATATCGATTAGTGTGTTGGCCAATACTGCGGTTATTATTAATTTGCAGCTGATGTCATCAACATTTCCTGAAGTGTGACGCTCTGCTCTGTTTTAGACTCTTAGACTTTAATCTGCGCTTAATTTTAATGCAATTTGACCAGAAATAGCTTATTTAGTTGGAATTATAATGGTCTCTCATATAAAATGACCTAAACAGGACCATAAACACTCATATCGATCATAAGCTCCTAAAAATGTGATGTGAAATCCTTTTTTTTTTTTTTTTTTTTCTTGAGTTTTCAGGCGATCTTAACCTAACTTTGGTTTCTACCTGGACGACTGAGGGATTTTACACACATCATTAGCCTAACTTTCCTACACATCCTACCATTAGAGATAAATGCACAACATCCCCAGCATGATGTCACTGCAAAATATCTTCTTTTTTTTTCTTATCGATTATTGTGACAGCCATTATTGCAATATTGATATTTTTTGTGTTATATTGTGCAGCCCTATTTATAATATCGTTACCATTTATTGTAATGTTTTCCCGAACAACACAACAACTTCCAAATGTGTTATTGTGCTTCTTGACGATAAGCCTAAATATAGTAAAAGTAATTATTGTACTACATTTAGCCTCTCCTGGGTTCCTAAAAGCTTCTTGTCAGTCTAAGGTGTAGACTGTGATTTATCCTTCCATTAGCTCCGTGTATCTACCTCGTCTCTAACAGATGATGTTCAATGTTCCTCAATTATTCAACACTGAAAATACTTTGCCCCATCTGTTTCTCCATATTGTCCCAAAGGAGTGGTAACATTAAGACCAGCCTCCCCTCTCCTCTCTCCTCTCTCTCTCACTCACACTTCAGCCCACCATCATGAGGTAACCCGATCCTTCAGAGTGGAGGCCCTGATCCGAGGACCACTTTTGGCAGCGCACTTCAGTGACATCATCCCTTTCCTCAAATCAGATTTATACAAGTTTTCACATGAAGAAGACTAGACTGGAGCCGTTTACATCATAGTGTTACAGATGGATTACAGAATATTACTTCTTCTCTTTCCCACAGATTTAAAGGTACAACTTTTTCGATCATGGGTCTGTCACCTGTTTGCCTCCAATGTTCCACAGTATGACATTATTAGACAAGTTTTCACATCTAAGACTGGACCGGAGCAGTTTACCTAATAGAATTACTTTACAGTGTTTCAGTGATAGTGACACGCAATCTTTATTTTCATAATTTCATTTAAAAGGTGTATTGCGTTAGCCTGAAATCGTCTAACTTCAATGGTAGGTGGGTACTTTTTTTAATTAATCACTGCCATTTGGTCGTGACATATGTAATGCGCTACTAACGGGCCTAACTGGTATATTAAGATGTTCCAAAATTCCGTAAGAAGAAGGGCAATAACGTCTTTCCCTTGATAAAATTCACCAAACATTCTCTTTGTTCCGGCTTTAAATCCTCGATCTCGGGAATTGTTGCCAACACAGAATGTCCGTCTTCGTCTACATCCATCTCGACCGCTTTGTTTACTGTTGTGCTGTACCACAAAAGAAACCCAGACAGGTGCTTGAGTTTGACGTTATGGCTTCACAGCTCTTCGCTGTTTGGTCAATGCACGGTCTACAACTTCCAGGGTTCTTACAAACCGTCTAGCGTATTTTGATTACTGACCTATTCACTGGAGAGAAATGAAATTGAGCGGAGGCACTAGGTGGCGCCAGCCTGGCAAACACTGCATAACATTTATAGAGAGGGTCCGCCACCTGCCGTCTTTCTGTGAAGGGACTCACCACTCCACAGATCTGACACCCAACTTGAACTTGGGCAACATCAATATAAATAAATATGTTTAAAACTATCCAGTGGAAAGACGACAAAGCATTAACATCTGTAGGGACGTGCAAGTGGCAGACTGTTCATCAGAAATATTATTCTTTAAATGCATCTTAAATGATTCTACAAGCACAAAATTAGTAAAAGCTGTTAACTGACTAATTTATTTCACAGCTTGTTTTTAGATTAGTGAGAGAAAATGTTAACAGTGGGGGTCCACCATATTAATGCTTTATTAATGAGACAGACAGATTTATAATTTATTCATCATTATGGTTGAAGCGCCAAATGGGTCAGGCTATTATTCAAATGAGTATCCAGTTTTGATAATAGTTTTAGTATCAATTATTAGTAAATCAAATTGTTTGGACAGTTGTCTGGATATTTAAGTATAATTTGCCTTTGAGCTGTTTTAATAGGTCATTTTCGGTTAGAGGGTGCAGTTACTAGAGAAGAGTTTAAAACAATGTGTGAAGCTCGTCATCATTTTGCCTTTGGTTAAAACAGGAAGTTAATTTAACAAAATACAAAGCTGCATCCTTTGAACGGTCATAAGGATGTGCAAGTGTGATGACTCATTTGGCTCTGTAAATAACGGCTTTGTTTGAACACGAAACTACACTATAAAGAAGTAACCACACACAATCATGCCTATGACTAAACTGTGCAATAGTTTACTCTGTTGTCCATAGTTAAAGGTGCACTATGTAACTTTTCTGGTGGGGAGTCTGCCACCTGCTTTTCTCATGGACGTGTTATTGCTTTGTCTGGAAGGTTTCACTGTATTTATTCAATTTCTATAGATTTTTTTTTTTTTTTTTTTTACATTTTAGCATTTTTAGCATTTTAGCATTTTTATTGCTAAAAAAACACCTTGAACCTCTCCATAAATTGACCTATAACTTAACCTGGTAGCATACCTGCTCGCCTCCATGGGAATGAATTTAGTTCACAATGAAAACTAGTTGTGGCAGCGCCTTAAGCACAAGTACAAATCGTAAAGGAAGTGTCTTTACAATGAAAAGAATCAAAAACGAGGTCTTGGATTTACATTGCAGGTTTCTTGTTACAAAAATAGTGTGATCGTAAGCTACTTCAGCTGCTTTAGGGCAGAAACGTGGCTAGTACCAACCACTAATTGCTCACTCACTACTCATTCACACTTAAGCAAGACAAGTAAAGTGTCTTGCCTAAGGACACAACAGCAGTATGCACAGGTTAAAAGATAAATCAGAGAACCTTGAGTTTTGTGAGCGAGCGGTAAAACCTCTCAGCCACTTTCATGATTAACAAAAATAAATTCTGAATAGTTAACTCAAATACAGTGACAATAAACAGCAAACAACTTTATGGAGATGGCGGGATGGCTTGACAACTGCATGATTTATGGTAATGAAAGTTAAAACCATACTAGATGAGTTTTATAACATACTGTGGAATATTATAACTGAAGCAGGTGGCCAGGCCAAATAAGAGTCAGGTTTGAATGTAAGGAGTAAGGATACATGTTTTTCTGCATTTTTCAGAGCAACAAATATACAAAATGAAAAAAAAAATAATAATAAAATTTTATTTTAGTCTCACAGACGCTGAGGCTTTAATAGTAAAATCTTATTTCACTTTCTGAATGACACAGGACTTCAACCCAGCCAACCTGCAGTTGGTCTGTTTGGTCTGTGTCATTGTATCAGTGTGTTCCTGATGAAAATCTCTATTGTTCGAAGGTTAATAGCACACCACGTTTCTGGGAAAGCCTGTCTGTCTGGGCCGGGGGGTCATCACTGTGGGACAAACAACCCTTTTCAGTCCAATCTTACAGGTCACTACACAGTCATGGCGCACGCATGCTGTTCTCCTTTCGAGACAACAGTGAAATCTGTCATAAAACTGGCACAATAACAGCTGATATCCATGGGGTTCAGAATGATGAAAAATTAGCACAAAATATTACATCTTTTCAAATGCCACCTATAAAAAGGAGGCATAATGTAGTCTATTTCGAAAAGCTGGACACAGATCATTAGCATAGTCATTATTAGCACATGAAACACATTTTGCGGAGATCACTGAAACCCAATGCTCCCTGGATCCTCAGAAATAACCTAATTTAAACCTTTTTTCCTTTTTTCTAATCATCACAACGCATGTCACCACTTCACAAACAAGACTATTGCGCATAAAAATAGGATTTCCTTGAATTCCTTTGCGCTCCACCCATCTGGAAACCTCAATGATAAGATTAAACAGTAAAAAAAAAAGAGGCCAAGGCAACATGACATTATATTTGCGTAATCAGAAATAGCAAACACCATAAAGCAGCTAGGATGTGCATCAAAATCAAGGCTGCGCTATGGTTCGTCTTAGCTTGGCTCGATAGCAATGACAATCTCATAGTAAATACTCACGTTTGCGACCAACAACGAGTCTGCGGTCAATGCGTTTAGCGATTTAACAGCAAAACATCATCGCATATGAGACTGACATCGATATATTAACATAAAACGATGGTTAAACGATGATAGTACGACTGCAGCTGCTTCTGTTCAGGTGGTGGACGTGAAGAATCGTGCGTAAAATCAACCTGGCCGTGCGTCAGCGTGAAGCGGTGAACGTCAGAAATGTGCCGTGCAGTTTTTTTTTTTTTTTTTTTGTCTTGAATGAAACTAACCCCATAAAAGCACACGGTTTCAGACTGTCACGTCGTTTCCTTACCCTGATGCCACTGCTGCAGCCCCGGCTTCTCCTCCTCTTGGCTGCCGAAAAGTTAGCTTCACTCAACTTTAGCACTTCCTGTTTCCGCATTGCCCAAATCTTATCGGGTTGTCATCGGTGCAGACTTACGCTCAAGTTCAAAGTATTTTAATGTTTTAGCCAGAAATATTTCAACACAACGAGGTATGATAGCCTATTTAACATACAGTCACTTATATTTTAAATGCATTCATTAGAGAAGTAAACAATCAACATAGCATTACGCATTTGGATAGTTTTGTACAGCAATGCGCGCAGTGTTGTGTGTGAATCCTCACTGGGATTGAAACGTCGCCTTTACCTTATTAGGTAAACTGAGACTTGGATCACTATGTACTATACAATACTCAATTAGCCTCCTCCCATTGTGGCAACAGAACACACTTACCTTGTTGAAACAGCTGTTAGTAAGAATTTCCTCTTTTAAGTTTTTGTTCTTCTTTTCTCCAATCTCTGTTCTCAGTAAGAGTGTTCTAACTTCTCTTTTCCAGACCCACCTCCTGGTCTCCAAAAGGAATGACACCACTCTTCCAAACAAGTTCTTTCTCGTTTGGCTGTATATTACACTGTAAACAGCACTGCTCTTTCTCTCTCTCCCTCTCTGTCTCTCTCTCCCTCTACCTCCCTCCTTCCCTCTCCCCCTGTGTTAGGTGTGTGTGGTGGTTGGGGCAGACCCTCCTCTTCCCCTGCTCTCCCTCTCTCTAGATTCTTGCAGCATTCTTCATTCAATGACATCAACCCTGTTGCCTCTCCTTGTAAGGTCAGAGAGGGAATGGAGGGAGCAGGGAGGGAGAGATAGGGCTACGGCTTGATTAAATACAGACATTGGAGCGGCCAGGCTGGGGTAAATGGCTACAATGACAGAAGAAGTGCAGTGTGGAAGAGGCGAGAAGCCTTTTGTTCCTCCATTTGAAACACATGTTTTCTGTCAGACAACAACAACTAGCTCCACTTTGTCTTTCAATAAGTAACGCAAGGCACTTTAAGTCATGCCACTTCATACACATGGTAACTCAATGTTCCTTACAGATTCAGAATATTACAAGATTAAATAAAAGATATAAGTAGGCTAATGTCACGTACAAAAACATTAGTGTGACTGTGAATGCTTTGTGTAGTGATGGATTCTGCTAAGCAAACATGCGGAGCAGACTAAAGGCTAGCTTACATTTCACTTGCACACACACCACATGAAAACTGGGACTAAACATGGACAAAACCCAAAAAGAAACCTGAACTGGACAAGAACTAAACAATGACTAGAACAGGACCAAACCAAGTCTACAATAGGGCTAAAACAAGCTGAATTTCAGACCAAATAACAACAAGCACCCTTATACTTATTCACACATGTACACACACCATAAAAACTGTGACTAAACATGGACAAAACACTTAACTGGGCCAGGACTAAACGGGGACTTGAACCGGACCAAACAAAGTCTTCACCAGGACTAAACTGGCACTGAAACCAGGAATGAACCCTCAGCAACAGTTGATCCGCTTTTCCATTTGTCACAGTTCACATACTCTGCGCCTGAGTCATAGCAGTTTGTACTTTTCTTCACATAACTGAATTTGGATGCACCTTCTCTTATTGCATCTTAAATATGATCACGACTTTGTGATTTGTAACCCCTTTGTCTTTACTTTTGCATACAATATATTTTTATTTCGTATTCCAACATTGTGGTTTCAGTTCTTATCTAATCGGCATAATTATTCCATGCAAATTTAGTGCATATTACAGGCTTTAGCACTTTCTCACTAAAACGTCGCTAGTTATAACAATTATATTTAAGATTTTGCAAAAACATGTACATTTTGTTTATTTATTTTTTTTCACTTTCTGCTTTGACATGGGCAGCAGATGTGTCATACATAGAGGAAATTCCAGTTTTATTACCTAGCAGCCTTAATGTTGCAGAGACTAGACTTGTCTAAATTACACAATAGTTAGGATTAGACTAATTTAAAGAGATGACAACACCTTTATTGTGTTAAATCAGTGTTAATCGGTCAGAAAATCGCTTAATCTGTGTTCCGTGCACTTGCAATTGTCTCTGCATTTTGGAAGGAGTTTTCCGTGTAGATGACACAGGCAGAGGTATTCTGTTTTTAAGCTCAGCGCTACTTTCTGTAATTCTTTTTTTCCTCAACATTTTTTCCACAAACTGCCACTTAAAAAGATGTAAAAATGTGAAACTTATTTACTACACATACTATTATACCAAATCAAGTAACTTTGACAAACTTTATTCATACAAAATGGAAATTACTTCATTTCTTTACTTCATTTGTACTATAAACTAATTTTTAGCACCACCAGTAGAAGGAAATGTATGAAAATATAGTGATACAATATGAAAACAACAAGAATAAATGTGGTAAAATGGTTAGATATGCATTACATTTAACCAATCCTATGACCCACTATGAGCCAAGTAATAGTCAGGTGAAAGTAGTCATAGTTACACACATTTCATTTGTAATATCCTTGTGATTAATATTTAATCAGGGCAAGTGTCAGCTGATGTGTTGTGTAACCAGCTGAGCCTTATTCTGCCTTTATAATAAATACAGGGAGTGGTCATTTGGGTCTTTGATAACCTATTGTCCAACTAGGAACTTTTCCAGTACACATCATCTCCCACCCGAGTGAAAAAGTATCCCCTCTTTGCTGCTTATATAACTTGACAAATTAGGCCAGCATGATGTTTTTGCCTCCTGGAGTGCAATGATGTAGGTTACACATATTAGTTGTGTTCTTTTAGAATTATGTCATAATTTCAGATGGAATGAAGGGTCCATGGGGGGAGACCCTATCGTTTTTTGTTAGAGATTAGCTCTACAAATGTACCGTATAATCTTATTTCTTAACGCCCTTTAAACTGACAACGTATGTTTGAGTAATGCCAGCAGTTTATGAGGCTATTGTGAAAGAATACACTGAAGAAGATGTGGAACTTTGTGCCAGTTCCTATTGTTAATACATGCAATGCCCTGTTATTACAGAGCTATCAATCATAAACCAGGTCAAAACATGTGCATTTTCACAGTTAAAAGTTGCACTTGTCATTAAAATCTGCCCTGTCCTCTATTTTAAATTGAAACTTTAGGCAATTGAATACGGTATGTCACATAAATCATAGTATTTAATTGAAATTCCAATAATTTATCTGACAAGGAAGCTAGACTGACACAGGTTTGTTGCTCTCCTCTTCCCCTTTTTCCAGGGTTGGGTGGTTCCTCTGTGAATGATTTTTCAAAAGTCCACACCAGGCCGTGAAAAGCCACCTCTAGGGGTCCTCTCAGTTTGTAGGTAAGTCCAAAAACATCGGAATTAGAGCCAGACAGCCTGGAATGCCGCCAAACATTGGAATGAACAGCCCCCCTCACCTCATCCCAGCCCCTTTCTCTCTCCTCTCTGCTTTTCCTTTTCTCTCACATGCAGATCTTTCCTTCCTGTTCAGGCATTGCATTTTTTCCATTAAATTGATTCTCCCAGCTGACAGTGAGCACATTTACACAATCAGTAAAAATCAGATAATTATATAAAAATCGAATAACGCAGCGGTTAGACGTGATTTTTCGTGTGTGTTTACTGTTTACAAGCACAAGAGGAATCTGATCACCAAAACACCTGGTGACTAGAGCTCGACTACTTGACTAAAGAAGTTCTTGGTCGACTTGCTGATCGATTAGTTGACTAAAAAGGGGACGTGGCAAAAGCTCTCAAAACTATTACTTATCTCTGTATCTGATCCAAACTGCGGTCACGAATCAAGAATGCACAGACAAATTTAAGTTGTGAATCATGACTTTAATCTGCCCTTTAACACATAAATACGAAAACATACCAAATCTTCAGCTCACTCACTCACTAACTTCTCCTTCTGCTCTTATAATATAAATAAGATAAATCCTTATCACCTAAATAAAATAGTTAGGCGACTAGCACAGATTTTAGTTGACTGAGACTCCGCTGACTGATTAATCGACTAAAAGACGAACTGGTGAGTAACTATTGTGTTTGGAAGGACATTGAATTTTAAAATAACTATTTGAAGCTGCAGCACTCGGCTTTTTTTTTCTCATAAAAGGGTCAATTCTGTTTTTCCTCCCAGAAGTGTATTTGAACTCTGTGATGCGCTTTGGGATGTGAGCTGTTTGGTTGTGCAAGGGTTCATGTGAATACTAGTGATTTGCCAAAGGGTCTACAAACTATGAGCTACAAATAAGTTATAATGCCAGCTTCTTACTTTCAATGTTTAAAAATCATGTACTCGAGCTTTTAATCTTAAGCATTTTCTTTCATGTTTGTCTTTGCCAGATTAGTTTGCCTTTTTTCCGCATCATTTTCCTTGTCAAAGTGTGCACACGTGTGAACAATCTGAAAGAAATCAGATTACTCAGTCAGAGTTATTTGCATGACATTTCAATAATCTGATAACTCCAAATTTGAAAATGATCAGATTTCTGTGTGCATGGAAACATAGGCAGTGTCCCCTCTAACACATGCACATTTGCTCTTTCCTATCTCTCCTTCCGCTTCTCTTTTTTTACCTCCCACAGCTGAAATGAGTCATACCTGCCTTTATACAGAGGCTTTGGCCCTTTCAGATCCATATACACTCACAACATGATGTCTCCAGATGAACTTTTGAACATGCTTTTATAACGCTTTAGTTCTTTTTTCCACATACGGCTAATATGCATTTCAGTAATGTCTTTATCTTCACTTAGGAGGCTTGGTTTCAGATGACACAACGCTGTATGACTCTAACATGTTCCCTCACACAGAGATACGTTTTATAGGGGTGTAATGATTTCCAAGTCTCACGATACGATATCATCACGGTATGAACCTCACGGTACGATATTTATTGCGATATTTTGTCTGAAAGCTCATGATATGGTGGGGAGGCTCACGATTAGGGATGTAACAATATCCAAATCTCTCTGTACGATATTTTCATGACATACATCTCACAGTATATTTATTGTGATATTTTGTGGAGGGTAACAAAACTGTGAATAGGCTACTTTTTCCTCTTAAAATGCCTTGACAAGACTTAATCCAAAAAACTAAGACTTAAAAGTGCTTAGAACTGTTATTTCTTCATGTAGTCTGCACTGAAATGGAGCAAAGGATCATGGTCTATGTAGTATCTTTTAGGCTATTGCTGCACCATAACTCTTAATTTAAGCAGACGCATGTAATTCAATATATTGTGATGGTCCATGATATTATTGTGAGAACTTTGACAATACAATATCATGATATTTCAGTTACTGTTACATCCCTAATGTTTTATATTATCATTAAGATGTTATTGCTTTACTTGGAATGTTTCACTATATAGCAGAAACTTGCATTTGTGCTATTATGGTTGTTTTTGTAACAATACAACAAAACATGCACTCTTATTCATGAATATTGATAATTTTAATGTCAAACTGTGAAACAATCCAGACAAAGTTACTTAGTACACTGCACCTTTAATTTGTTGGTATTTCTTATGGAAATACAGTTTGTTCTGGGCAGACAAACTCTATTTTAACCCCATTTAAGTTTGTGACATTAATGATTTCTAGAACCTAAAAACAACCAATCCTTGAGTATGAGAATGATAGCACTTTGACAAAGTTGGACAGTTGCCATAATGATTACCAATTTTAAACAATATATCTTTTGAATGGGGAAAAGTCGTCAAACTGTTGCCTATAACAGGAAGCTGAAACCCATGAATATGAAAGCAAAAACATTAAGGCACTGGAATCAATCAAATAAATGTACTGTCTCGCTCTTTTCACTCAGCACCCAAAAAAGAAATGGATCTGGAGCTGAAAGCTTAATCTAATCTAAGATGTAGTTAAGTGTTTAGACCAGCAGGTGTCAGCCACATACAGTGTCACTGAATACATTTCTCCAGAGTAATGCTGCCTTGAGGGTTGTACTTGTCTTCACAATCTTGACAGAAAACAAATCCTCGGGAGCAGATGAGATAAAAGACAGGCCGATCTGTGAGGGTGCAGATAAAGCGATGTGAAACCTGATAGATGGAGGAGTTAAGTGAGTGACACAAATAGTGGTTTAAAAGTGCAGTGGTGGTCTAGGAATTACCAAAATTGTCAGGTAGAAACAGAGGGAGGACCCAAAATGCAGGTCAGGGTCAGCTAATTTACACTGATAACATTTTGATTGTTATATTGTAATCCAGTGAGTTCTTGGGTCTAGTCAATAATAGAAATGATCTGGTTCAACATTTTGGATATTTCATGGCAAAGTACAATGTTATTAATAGGAAAAACTGTCTTTGCCACCCCACCTGAGAGTATGATTGCATTATAGAAACTGGAAACCACCAATATCATTACGATTGTTACGATAGCACCACTTTGAGATTGTGTCAGTGTTCCTCACCATACTTTTTCAACCACGTCTAAACCAGGTCCAAAGCAGACCTGAACCACGAGGACTAAACCAGGTTCTGAACCATTTTTCATATTGGGATTAACATGAGTAAATAAGACAAGATCTAGACTAACACTAGACTCTAAGCATAATTATTTTCTGTCATTTGAATTAAACATTAGTTGTGTTTCTTGTCAAATTAAAAGTTAAAGTAATATTTTTAAACTTAAAATTATTGCAGGTATCACTTATATTTTGCATTGTTATAAAAACAGAATTTAACTAAACTTTGCTCTTCTATGCATTTTGCAAACTTTATTCAAGAAAATACTTGCCATTGTTTCTTGGTAACTTACAGTACTAATATTTGGTTAGAAAGTTAATGATATCTTCATGAAATAAAGTACAATGATATGTTTACACTTTGACTTACCATACAGTTTCCATCCTATTACCATTCTACAAACAAACTATAGAGTACATAATTATTTTCTGTCATTTGATTTAAACATTAGTTGTCTTTTTTGTCAAATTAAGAGTTAAAGTAAACTCTCCTGATATGTAATCGCATATCAGAAGAGTTTCCAATATTTTTAAACCTGAAATTATTGCAGGTATCAATTGTATTTTGCATTGAGGTTGTGGGTTGTTTGTAAGATTAATTCTGTAAGAAAATTCTGGTTGTCCCTGGTCTAGTAGGAGGCACAAATGTCCAGTGTTGCCCTTAGATTTGGTTAAGATTATTTATTTTTAAAGATTTTTTTTGAATTATTTAATCTCATTCACATTTGTGGAGTATTAATATCACTTACTGCCTATTAATCTAAAGCATTTTTGACCAGTCTTGTCTCTTTTGTAAGTTTATGATAATACAATGAGCAATAAAGTCAAATTTTGTCGTCAAGGTTGTTTTTAGACTGTGGGAAAGAATTTTAAACTATGAGGGGCCAACATAGTCTCCTCTATGATCACAAATAGAACAAGAGAGATAGAATTGTGTAAATAATAAAGGAGGAATATTGGGAAGTTGCAAATGTTTCGCCACTGTAAGAAAAAACAGGAATCCAGTAGAGACACTTTAACTATGCACATAAACTCTATGCACCACAGGCTACAGCAGGCTAATTACACTCTGCCCATATTAGAGACTGCGGATTCTCATAACACCATTTATATCTCTTCACTGCCTCGCCACCTGCTACGCCCTTTCTCTTCCTCCTCAAAAACAACCCCTCCCCTTCCTCCCCTTCCTCCTCCTCACATCACAACAAATGCATTCTTCATTTGTACTCTGAGTAATTCTGACTAACAACCCTAATTTGAGTTTAGATTTGAGTTTATAGGTCCTGGACTGGTTTCAACATCTTTCTCTTGTGTTTTTTCCTGTTGTCCATCAATACATTTTTTAAATTTATCTATTTGGTTGGGTTTATTAAAGGTCCTATATTATGCAAAATTGAACATACCAAAAACTAGAACCAAAAACAGACGTGGAGTTGTGTTTTGTTTCATTCACACATGTTTGAGTAATCCTTTATTATTAGTCTGTCTATATCGCCAAAGCTCAAAATGCTCTTTTCCTCCGGGGTAGTTTTCAAGTTGACAGCTACGTTTTATCTTTTGTTCAGTAGAGATTAGCAATTCCAAGGCTGAAATTATCCAAATGATTCTAGTGAAGGTGTATGGAGCATTTCTTGTATTACCACATGTCATCACAAGGGCCTTAAGGGAGTTATAAATACAGAATTTAACTAAACTTTGCCCCACATGAATGCATTTTGTAGACTTGATTCAAGAAAATACTTGACATGTTTCTCAGTAACTTACAGTATTAATAAATAGTTGGTTAGAAAGTTAATAATAGATACAGTTTCTATCCAATTACTATTCTACAAACGAACTAGAGAGTATATCCAATTACTCTGCGCTAATCGAAACTACTCAAAACAGCACTGAGATTGTGATTTCAAGTCATTCTAATGTAGATATTCCCTTATAGAGTGTAGCTGAAACCCTTTGCTTTTCCATATAACGCCCACTCACTCACTCACTCACCACCACCTCTGGACTCTGTGCAGTGGGTTAAGACGTGCTTCGATTTCACAGCCCTCACAAAATGACATCTGGTGTTTCACCACAGGGCTGCACAGTGCGTTAGCAAGAGTTTTGGGTTCTTATCTGCCAGGAATAGAAAGGGAAATGCATTCATAAGAATTCACAATGCAATCATGGTGATAAGGGTGTCTTACAGTGATTAGGAATGCTTTGGTAATTTGGAAGGAAATATTTTATAGTAGGACGTGAGAAGCAGAGAGAGTGTAGGTAGGTCAAGGTATTAACTCACAATACTCAAATTTCAAACTTGATTTCGATACTATAGAATAGACTTGATATTCAATACCTATTCCCATACCACAATAAAAAAATAAATAAATAAAATTCTTTGAACAATAGAATGGGATTTTCAACATTAAATAATAGTACTTTTTATATCAACATATGGTCTTATATCTGATTAATCCCTCAGTTGTCCAGGTTTTTTGGGTAGTGGTCCATGGGCATATACTAGTCTCTGTGCTCTAATACTTTTTCTGATGCAGGTCAAGATCATTCTAAACCTATTCAGGAAAGGTTCATTTCTGTCCTGTGCATGAGACATTTTTAGTATTGATTCCTATTCAAATGAGTATCTAGTTTCAATTATTGATTAGTGTCGGAATTTTGATACTTTGACAATCCTAGTATTAACCCTATCTTTTAATCTAATGGCTTGTGTCCAGACATTGACTGCTAGATTCATTAAAGCTTCTCTATCCCCAGGTATTGCTTTGCCTTGAATGTCCCACATTATGGCATTAAATGGCTCCATCTTTTATTCAATCACAGGTTTGTTTTATAATCTATCTACCTTGCTTCCTTATGTGAGTCGTCTTACATCATTGCGGCCTTTGGGAATGTATTAATCCTTTAACAAATTCCTGTATCAAAATGTTGTCAGAACAGATGTAGTATAAAAAATGAAATGACACAACTGATTTGTCTAAAATACATCCTCATGATTGAACAGCATTACACTGGTTTATTTCAAAGAGTCCTTGAATTGCAGTCTGCATTTCTGTCTTAAGTTGACTGACAGAAAGTGACAGGTACATGAAAATCACTGATCTCCTAAACATGATATTATCAATCAAGGTCAATGTGTTTAGTTCTACATTGTAGATATACTGTACCTCACTGAAGAAACAATGCAGCGAATGGGTCTCAACATGGAAGAAGCTGTGTGTGTTGCCTAGTAAAGATATTTTAATAAATAAAGTGAAGGATTGTTGTTGGTGAACTGCTGACAGCAAAAAAAAAATTATGAAACCATTAGATTGCAAACCGGGACCTGATTAATCAGACTAAACCAATAAATAAATAAATAAGATACATAAATCAGGGAAGAACCCTAGAGAAATTTATACAAGCTTCTGGTTAGTGGTTAACCGCTTAACCCACTGCCCCACGGTCACCAATTAAAAACCCTGGATTATACTTTAATAAAGCAGGGCCATATTCAGACCAGGAAATCAACCAGCAATTATCCACAACTAAACCAGGACAGGGCCAGGACTAAACCAAGACTTAAATGCCTCTATATAATGAACCAGGGTGTTTAAAATATTCTGTGTACAGCTCTGTGCGTGTGTGCCGGTTTGACCTTGTCTTGCCTTTGTCGCAGATGCAGAGTGTCCATGAGGCTTGTATTGACTGAGAATCGAACTGTTAAATACATCAATATTTACAACAATGGTAAGATTTATTATCTGTACAAGTTCTCTTGACATCACAATATGTTATGTTATTTGTCTGAAAATGAGCTGGAGGACAAGTCAGATTTCTACGGCTGATTTTTACTTTTGACTGTCAAAGCAGATTTTGACCTGTTTTATGTTTAATTTTTCTGTAATTACTGGACCTATATAGATTAAACAAAAAAATACCTAATGTTAAATGTGTCAGTCATCACAAATTAAAGGTGTAATATGTAACTTCTCTGTTTGTCTCCATGGAAATGTTATTGCTTCTCTGTGGAGACAAGCATGTGGCACAATAAAAACATCTAGAATTGAATATGTGCAAGATGCATAAGCTTCCATACTGTGGAACATTACAGGGAGTAACATCTCCACACGGATGGCTTTGAAAATTGACTTAGTGCACTCATACATTGTATATAAATGGGCATGGCAAACCCGCTAGCTGCCTCACTACATATAGGAAGTGAGCACAGGCACACTTCCGTCTCCATCAACTCCAGTTCACTTTCTATTGAAAAACTCTCTCTTTAACTGCTGCTGTCAGACTTGTTATGTTGGTCTTAAAATGTTCGCATTAACCTGCTCTACATGATACTCCTATTTTTATAACAGCTGCAGGAAGGGGCATCACTCCTAATTTGGTCTTTGGATGCTCAGATATTTGTGGTCCGAAATTCACCCCTATAAGCGCAAACCTCGATGAGCTTCATTTGACTGGAGAACGAACGCTTTATATGACGTCACACTCCCTTAGCTCACTTCTTTATACAGTCTATGAGTGCAACAGATTTTTTTTTTCACAATGTTTTCCAAAACCGATGCGCAAAAATATTGAAATATCGATATATCATATTGTTTAATGTGGGAATAATGGGTACCGATATATAGCCAAGAGTATTTTTTGGTATATTTTATCATATTATTTTGTTACAGGGCTAAAGTTTTGTTGCCTGTTTAGAGGAAGAAAACTTTTTTATGGGACACATTTGACATTTTCACTGTTTAGATTTAGTTTAGATAGGTTAAAATGGGTGTGTTTTATATTAACTTTGCACAAGAAGTGGTTTAACAAAGACTTGATTTAACCATTATTTTTAATTAACCATATCGAATCATGTCGAATTGAAAGTTCGCTGTATTGTGATATGTATGGTATCGTGGTCTGTGTATCGAAGTATGTATCGTATCGGCAATTTCTTTATGATACTTAGCCCTAGTTGTGATAATATTTAGGCACAAAACATGTCCGTTATCAATTGAAAGGCCACAAGATTAATATGACACAAACCAAACCCCAAAAATTCAACATATGTACCATGAATTGTGCATAGATTTATATGACCCCTTTTCCTCCATCTAAAATTATTACATCAAATCCCATAATGTCATGAATGGAACCTGTTTATTATCGTGTGTACATAAAACACATTGTGCGTCTGTGTCTTAGCCTTAATTACACATCTCATTAGACACTTTCTTTTTTTGGTTCAACAGCATCAAGTGAAGCTGACCCCTGCGGCAGTCTACCTCGACTCGCTGGCCCAGTGGGAGCTCAGGCGCGAGAGTTCAGTCTATATATAAACTACAAAGCGAGGATCAGCTGGATTAGGTATGATTTGTTAGGTCTGGACACATTATATCTCCATTTAAACAGACTTGGAGCCCGTTTATCATTTTAATTGTGGAACCTTTTGAAGTCTCCGGCCAAGTGTTGATATTTTAAAATTCCTGCCGTGCTGTTCCCCCTTCATCTCCTGCCTGTGACTCAACTGTTCCTTAGCTCGCCGTCCATCTGTCCAAGTGGGGCTGCAAGACTAATTGAAATCACAGTCTGAATAGTGAATTAAAGCTGTAATATGTAACTTTTCTAGTGAAGGGTCTGCGGCCTAGTTAGTTCATGAAGATGTTTAAATTACTTGGGATGTTCCACACAGTACGGCATTAAACTTATTTATCATGTTTTTTTTTTTTATTTCAGGCTTCTGTTGCTTAAAAATACCTTGAAAGAGATGCATTCTTACCATAGACTGTATAAAGAAGTGGACTAAGGGAGCTCCAGTCAAATGAAGCTCAAGAAGAACAAATTTGGAGTCTAGTTCCATATTAGGAATAGTATTTACATTATTTTGTTTATTTACATACAAAATAGTGAAATAAAAACCCCAGGATCATGCAAAGCGGGTTAATACGAACATTTTAAGACCAAAATTACAAAGCTCACTACAGCAGTTAAAGAGAGAGAGGTAATGATTTTTTATTGTGAAGTGAATTTGAGTTGATGGAGCTGGAAGCGTCCCCGTGTTCATTTTCTATCTGGAACACGGTGGCTAGAGGGTCATCTATGTTCATTATACAGTTTATTAGGGATGGGAGAAGATCTTGTGCCATAAGATCTCATGAGACCAATTTGCCACAAGATCGTGCACACACGTTAAAAATGATCTCGTGAGATTTTTTCTGATGTTTATACATTTAGATTGGATACAAATTTAAGTACTGGCAAGATACATTTTTTGACAAGCTGTAGTCAGAAAAAGCAGTGTTACAGCAACAATATTAAATAAAGTGAAATTAAAAGTGGTGAGAATAAAATTGGGAACTTGATTGCACAATTTATTTATAGTAAATAATGTCAAAATCTTGCCTTGTCTTGTTCTCGTGTCTCGTCTCGTCTTGTGAGTGCATGATCAGTTTTGGTTTAATGCCATACTGTGGTACCCAGGCTGGCGCCACCTAGTGCCTCTGCTCAATTTCATTTCTCTACAGCGACTAGGTCAGGAGTCAGAATACACTAGACGGTTTGCAAGAACCACGGAAGTTGTAGACCGCACACCGGCCAATCACTGAAGAGCCGTGAAGTGCCTGTCTGGGTCCCTTTTTGTGGTACAGCACAGTACACAACAGTAAACAAAGCTGTTGAGATGGATGTAGACGGAGCCATACATTCTGTGTTGGCAACGATTCCCGAGATCGAGGATTTAAAGCCGGAACAAAGAGAATGTTTGGTGAATTTTATCAAGGGGAAAGACGTTATTGCCCTTCTTCCTACGGGATTTGGGAAAAGCTTAATATACCCGTTAGCCCCATTAGTGGAGCATTACATACGTCATGACCAAATAGCAGCGATTGGTTAATTGAAAAAGTACCTGCCTACTGTCGAGTGATTGAATCCTAATGCTGTGAGGCCAGATGGTTTCCGCGATGTGAAATCAGATGATGAAAATGATCTTATGAGATTTTCCCCTATGTTTTTACATTTGGATTGGATACAAAGTTAAGTACTAGCGAGATAAATGTTTTGAAAAGCTATATTCTCAAAAATCAGTGCTACAGCAACAATATTAAATAAAGTATAACCAAAAACAGTGAGAATATAATTGGGAACTTGATTGCCCAATTTATTTATAGTAAATAATTTCAAAATCTTGTCTTGTTTCGTTCTCATGTCTCATCTCGTCTTGAGTGCATGATCAGTTTTAGTTCAATGCCATATTGTGGTAGCCAGGCTTGCGCCACCTAGTGCCTCTGCTCAATTTTATTTCTTTTATTTTGCACTAGACTAGATGGTTTGCAAGAACCCTGGAAGTTGTAGACCGCACACCGACCAATCAGCGAAGAGCTGTGAAGCCATGACATCAAACTCAAGCACCTGTCTGTGTCCCTTTTGTCTTTCAACACAACAGTAAACAAAATGGTCGAGATGGATGTAGACGAAGACATACATTCTGTGTGGGCAACGATTACCGAGATCGAGGATTTAAAGCCAGAACAAAGAGAATGTTTGGTGAATTTTATCAAGAGGAAAACATTATTGCCCTTCTTCCTACGGGATTTGGGAAAAGGTTAATATACCAGTTAGCCCTGTTAGCGGAGCATTACATTCACGACCAAATAGCAGCGAAAAAAGTACCCACCTACCATCAAGCGAACGGATCCTAATGCTGCGAGGTCAGACGGTTTCCGCGAAGTGAAACCAGCTGATGAATCAGGCTTTTTGTGCACACATGTTAAAAATGATCACCCCATGTTTTTACGTTTGGATTGGATACAAAGTTAAGTACTGGTGAGATAAATTTTTGAGAAGCTGTCGTCATAAAAAGCAGTGTTACAGCAAAATTATTAAATAGTAAAATCAAAAACGGTGAGAATAATATTTATTTATAGGAGATAATGTCAAAGTATTCGTCTCGTTCTCGTGTCTTGTGTCTTGTTTTGTGTGTGCACGATCATTTTCGGTTTAATGCCATACTGTGGAACATTCCAGGCCAAGTCAATAACATCTCCATGGAGACAAGCAAGTGGCAGACCCTCCATCAGCAAGTTTCAGTGTATCTTTAAGTAAATCACAAGACAACAGAGCTTAATAGAAGTAAATGTCTCTGTGTCTCCATGTGGTCTTTTTCTGTTAACCGTGGTTTAGACCTCCACAAACATGAAATGCATTATTTATTAGATTCGCACATCCATTGTTCTCTCAAATGTTAATAATGCTCCTGGATGTGTTTAAATTATGCACCGCGAACTGAATCTAAATAATCTTAAAAATGTCAACTGTCAGAAAAAATTGCGAGTCAATATTTTTCATAAATCAGTCCTACCTCCCAGTCTTTTGTCGTTTTGAGATGGGCTTTCCCTTTCTCCTCATTTCCACTTGGTGAAAAGTCAACAGAGTGGCTATGACCTCTCTCTCCTCTTACAAACAGACCTCTTCTCTCTCACAGTTCGGACGAGACTTGCATCATTTGCTGGACAAGCTTGAAACAATAAATTGGACGAAGCACAGAAATGTAATATAGCTCCACAGAGACGAGATCCACAGGGAATACTAATGCTGATAAGATATGATATACGAGATTAGATATAAGAAAGTGTGTTTAAAATCGTTCCAGCACTCTGTAACATTCTGCATTTATTCAGTTATACATGATTGTATTTCAAGGTCGCCCCTCCACAGATTTGACCCGTGACTCGGAGTGGTTTTGTCACCTGCTT